TCCAAGGGTCATATTAAGTATTCAATTAAAAAAAAAATTTTCGGGAGGAAAGGAGGAATTACAAAGGATTGAAAAGCAGGAATATCTTGGGAGAGTTGAGCATGGCCCAGAAAAAAGGCTAACACGGGGAGATTTATGCAACTCTCAAGAAGTCAGAATCAAAATTTGGGTAACTATAAGGAGATCATTTTCAGCCTGGGTTGAACTAGATCTAGGGCCTAGGTGGAGTAGACCTTTAAAAAAAATTCCAGTAGTATTTATTAAAGGATCTACATTACTTCCAGCTAGATCTCACAAGGAGGTACAATAGGTAATAAATTGACCATGGCCCCTCAATTGCTTCTGGACCTATGAAGATGATTTAGACCATGTCTCTGTGATCAGGGAAGCGGAAAGATAATTGACTTAGAGTGAGTGTAGAAGCAAGCATGGTCTAACAAGGAATACCAGAATGGCCCAAGAATTGGGGGTTCTGGGAAGAGACAGCCACACTAAGATAGGGAGTCCCTCCGTCAATGAAATCACAGGTCTATATTTAAAAAAAAAGATAGGGAGTCATAATTGGCCACAGATACAGATACTGTTTATTAGCATATTTGTGACCATTTAGTAAGCAGATTGGGAAATATCAGGCTCCATGTCTCTTAATCCCTATTGTTTGTATCACATAGGAACAGCTTGACTTAATAAAGTGCAGGATAGTATTGCACCAGAAATACAAGTTTTTCCTATTTGTTTTTCTTTAATTTTTGGCCAGGATCTTGCCTTTTTTCCCCCCCACTTCAGCAAGCATGCTCTTTAGGGTGAGGAAACATTTTGCATCTTCTTTCATTTCCTGTTTTGTTTTGTAGATTGGTTTTGTAATTTATTTTTTCAAAATTTTTTTTAGTTACTAAGTTAATTGGGGATTTTGAAGCTTAAACCTCAGCTGGCTTTTCAAGTAAACTGAAAAGCCAATGTTTGACTTCTTTTTTAAGGTTTGGGAGTATTTCTTTTTTGTGAGGAAAAAGTCATAACGTTCAAAGGAACATTTCTCTTATGATTGAGGAATTTAGATTATGTAGGCTTTTATTGGCAGGTAATCTTTGGTTTCTCACATCACTTGAGAAAGCTAGGGAAATTCTGGAGAGAGACAGGATTTCTCTCTGAGAGACAAAGCTGGAGAAGTAAGCAGATCTCTTCCTGGAGAAGAAAGGGCAGGAGGCAGCCAGGGTCTGAGGCAAAAGGAAGCTTCTAACTATCCTGAGACTAAGTTACATTTAAGTAAGAGGAGAGTAACCTCCTCTAGAAGAACCAAGTGTGGATTTTCAAGGAGGCAAGATTAGGTAAAAGACCTATAGGAAAGCAGTCTGTTGGAAGTTAGGTGTAGACCAATACCTTATACCGTATGCTAAGATAAACTCCCAGTGAATGTAGGACATATATAAAAAGTCACATAATAAATAAATGAGACAAGCAAACCTTTCTATGGATAAGGAAAAAGTTGATGATGAAGTAAAGGATACAGAGGATCACAAGGTAAACTGTTTATTTGAAATTTAAAAGGTTTTGCACAATCAAATCCAATACAGCTATAATTAGAAGGGAAACAGTTAACTGTGAAAAAAAACCTTTGCATCAGGTTTCTCTGAAATAGTGCACATTTCCAAGATATGTAAGAAGCGAATTTAAATTTATGAGAATAAGAACCATTCCTATCCTAGACTTGCCCCACTAATCCTCAGCACTGGCTTATTTCCACCATCTACTGCATACTCTTATTCTCTGTTGCCAAATGAAGCTGGAGAAAATCACAGACTCATGTGGACTGTATCCACTACAAATTCATGGTAGAATCTCAACTGGGCCCTCACTACAGCAAGGCAATTCTTTTTAATGGACTCATTATCCCATTTACCACTATTCTGAAGCCTTTCATCCCTTCTCAAACCTTGCATAACTCCCCTCCTTCCAGTCTCTCAGGTGAGAACCTTGCCTCATATTTCACTGCAAAATTTGAGGCCATTCGCTGAAAGCTTCCATCTCCTAGATGGCTTAAGCCACTCTGTCCACCTTCACCTGTCTCACATGATATGGTAGCCCTTCTTACCAGAGCAAACCCTTTTCCATGCACAAGTGACCTACTCCATCCTGTCCTCTAGCAGATTGCTGCCTCTGTTTTGCCATCTCACTTATCTTCTGTCTCTCCCTATCTACTATCTACTTCCCCACTGCCTATAAAAACATGCTCATATCTTTCCTATCTACAAACAAACAAACCCCAAACCCTCACTTGACCCATCCATCCTCAGAATTTATCATTCCATCTCTCTCTTCATTTTTGTGGCTAAACTACTTGAGAAAGTCTTTGGAAACAAGTGCCTCCACTTCTTTCATCTCATTGACTTTTTAACTCTACACTGTGATTTCCAGCCTTTTCATTCAATCAAAACTGCTTTCTCCAAAGTATGATCTCTTAATTGCCAGATCTCATGGCCTCTTCTTGATCTTCATCCTTCTTGATCTCTTTGCAGCCCTTAACATTGTCAATTGCCTTCTTTTTCTTAATATTCTCTTTTCTCTAGGTTTTTGTGACACCACACTCTTCTGATTCTTTTCCTACCTATCTGTCTGACTGCTCCTTCTCAGTCTCCTTTGCTTGATCTTCATCCAGGTCTTGCCTGCTCTGACCTGGACCCTCCTCTTTTCTCCTTCTGTATTATTTCACTTAGTAATCTCATCAACTCTCAGGAATTCAATTATCAGCTCCATGCTGATGATCCTCAAATCAGCTGATCAGCCCCGACCTCTCCAGACCTCTCTGATAACTTCCAGTTTTGCATTTCCTACTTTGGGCATCTCAGATTGAATGTTCCATGGAAGTCGTAAACTCAGTATGACACAAGCTGCATCTATCTTTCCTCCCCCTTCCTTATTTCCCTTTTACTGTTGATGGTACTGTCATCCTCACAGTCACCCAATCTAGGTGTCACCCTCAACTCCCCACTCTCTCTCATTCCCCTCCCACCATATCCAATTTGTAGCCATTCACCTTTGTAACACCTCTTGCCTCTTTCTCTCCTCTGACACTGTCACCACCCTAGTGCTGGCCTTCATCACTTCACACCTGGATTATCTCAGTAGCCTGCTAGTTGTTCCCCCTCCCTCAAGTCTCTCCCCACTCCAATCCATCTTCCACTTATCTGTCAAATTGATTTTCCTAAAGCACAGGTCTGACCATGTCACCCTTCTACTCAGACTCCAGTGGCTCCCTAGCACCTCCAGAACTGAGTACAAAATGCTTAATTTGGCATTTGAAGCCCTTCGTAGCCTGTACCTCTCTCTTCCCTACCTTTTCATCCTTCTTATGCCTTATAAACACCGCCCTCCCCGCCCCCCATACCCTGTGATCCAGAGACATTGGCCTCCTTGCAGATAATTGCACAGAACACTCCTGACACCGGGGATTTTCACTGGCTGTCCCCTATTCCTGGAATGTTTTCCCTCCTCATCTCTGCCTCCTGGCTTTCCTGGCTTCCTTCAAGTTCCAGCTATAATCTCACTTTCTACAGGAAAACTTTCTAGATCCCCCTTAATTTTAATGATTTTCCTCTGATGATTATCTCCTGTGTTGATCCTGTTTATAGCTTGTTTGTACATCGTCTCCCCCATTAGACTGTGAGCTGTTTGAGATCAAGAATTCCCTTTTGCCTTTCATTGTGTCCCTAGCACTTCGCACAGTGCCTAGAACATAGTAGGTGCTTAATAAATGTTTATTGACTGACTGACTGACTGATTTCCCCCATTGCTAAAAGGTCAAAGGATATGGATAGAGAATCCTCAGGGAAAGAAATCAGTTTGGCAGAGATTATCAAAAAAAGGAAAATGACATGTGTTGGAAGGGCTACAGGAAACCAGATACATTAACACACTGTTGGTAGAGCTGTTAATTGGTTGATCCGTTCTAGAAAGCAGTTTGCAGCTGTGCCCAAAAAGTTTCTAGACTGTGCAGACCCTTTTACCCAGCTGTATCACTACTCTGTCGCTACCCTAAAGGGATCAAAGAAAGAGGGAAAGGCCCTTTATGTACAAAAACCTATTTATAGCAGCTCTTTTTGAACCATCAAATAACTGGAAAGTAAGGGAGTGCCCAAGAGTTAGGGAATCGCAAAACAAAATATGGTACATGAATATTCCTAGCCTCCTTAATGTTAGTCCCTTCCCTAAAAGATTATCCCAAATTTGCCCTGTGCATTTCTTATTTGTACCTAGTGGTTTTTATGTTGTCTTCCCCATTAGACTGAATTCCTTGAGAATAGACACTGGTTTTTACCTTCCTCTTTATCTCTAGCACATAGTAGGCATTTATTAAATGTTTATCTACATGGCTTGACTATTGTGCTTTAAGAAGTGATGAAAAGGATGGTTTCAGAGAAATCTAGGCAGACTTGTATGAACGAATTCAGAGTGAAGTGAGCAGAACCAGGAGAACAATGTACGTGTTTACAACAATATTGTCAAAATAATTGAGTTTGAAAAACTTAAGAATTTTGATCAGTGCATTCACCAACCATGATGCCAGAGGATGAACCCAAGACATAGAATGAAACATTCATTTTGGGGAGAAGGCTGATGTGGAAATTGTTTTACTTGATTTTGCATTTTTTGTTACAAAGATTTTGTTTTTCTTTTTTCTTTTCCTTTCTCAGTGGGGTTGGAGAGGTGGGAGGGAGAGAAAATAAATGAAAATGGGAAGTTTGTCATGCTTTAAGCATGGCTTCTCTTTCAGTTTAATGGTTTCAGTTAAGAAAAACTTGTAAATATAACTCTATACTAATTCCTAATCATTCATACCTTAAAGCTAGAAATCATGCAGCTGGGAGCTCACTGTTACTTGTATATGTGTGCTGGATATGGGAACAGTTGCTAAAAAAAAAAGTTAGATCCTTAAGGACAAAAACAGCTATGCAGCTGGACGTCTTTATGACCAGTTGGTATCAATCCATTTTTTTCTCTTCTAGGCCTTCTTCAGATTTCCCAAAACAAAGTGGCAGTTCTTCTCCTGGCTGGTGGTCAGGGCACAAGACTTGGTGTGGCATATCCCAAAGGAATGTATGACGTGGGTTTGCCATCTCATAAAACTCTCTTCCAGATCCAAGCTGAGCGCATTTTGAAACTACAACAGCTAGTTGAAAAACATCATGGCAGCCAGTGCATCATTCCTTGGTAAAAAAGCTTTTGGCTAGCATTTCCTAATATAGATTGGTTTGTGATATTCAAAATGCATATCGATAATAACAACCAGGCATTTTGCCTGATGATGCTGGGAGAAAGGGACATTGTCGCAACCTCCTTTATCATTTACGTTAATATCTATATTAAAACCATCTCTATTTAAATAGTTCACCAACCATATTTCAGTAGTCATTGTGGCTTCAAAGAATGATGTACTTAAGTGTTTTTTGAATGCTCTTCCTAGGGTTAGGAATAAGAAAGGAAATCAATTATGTTGTAAGAGTAGTAGAGATTGAGTAGAGATCAGCTACACTGCGTAAATGTGACATCTCAATCTGAACATTTGTGTTACTCTCCTAAGGAGTTTGCCTTGTGATTGACAAAGATAATATCTGAAAATCTAGATTTATAAATATGATAAATTAAACTTACCTTTAGGTTAACTAACATAAAGGATTCTTTCCCTTAGAGGATTTACCAGAAGTGCTTTATAAATAGGATATTTTAAACAATTCATTTTACACTGGATTTTTCTATGTGGTATCTGTTGTCTTATAAATCAAAGGAGGCACTTTGCCTTCAGGTGTAGGTGTACTCTTCCTGCACTTTGGGGAAGGGCAGTTCTGGTAAGTATGAAAAATAATTTCCTCAAGCTAATAGTAGTTTGATTTCTATAACACCAGATTTACTAATTTTTTTGAGCATTTCTCCCTTTTGGTGTCATTGACAGGGAAAACTGAGTTTTTTTATTGCTTTGTGCTTTTTTAAACCACATTAACACAACTGAAACCATATTTTTCTGTTTGAGGTTTTGAATTACATCTGCCTTTCTGTGTATTTCCAAACTTCCTGGAGTATGTATCATTCATTTCAATATTATCTTGGAAATAGCCCTCCTAGGATTCTCTTACATATGCTTAATACTCTATGTTGAGTGTAATTGTCAGTCTGGATTGAATATGTTTCTGCTGTTCTAATATGTGTCCATCACATAAAATGGTCTGCTCATCATTATTTGTGCATGTAAATTTCTAGAACAGAGTACATATATATATATATATATTTTTTTCTGCTGTTCTAATATGTGTCCATCACATAAAATGGTCTGCTCATCATCATTTATGCATGTAAATTTCTAGAACAGTGTACATATACATACACACACACACACACACACACACACACACACACACACACACACACATATATATATATTACAAGTGGCCCATTTCCACAGATAACCCTTGTGCCAGGCAAGGTAGAGGGTTATTTATCATTTTATGTTTGCAAAGTCAGTGGAAGTGTCAAGAGAATATTTCTAATTCTATTTCAGAATTTTTGTAAAAATGTCTATAGTTGAGCATTCGACTGGATGTTGCTTCCATTCTTTCATTCTTGTAGAATGTCTTGCAGGGACTTAGAATACATTTCATATCATAAAATAAATGTATGCTGAGGTTAGTTGGAAGAATTCAGATGCTCCAAGAATTTTAGAAATGTACCTTGATTCCCTTTCGTAGCAGAGTCTCACTACTGAGTTGATTGAGGAATGTCCTGAAAAGACTCTGTGCTTGGGAGGCAGCTCATAGGAACCATCTAGGGAGAAAGATAAAGAGACCAGAATAGTCTAGTGCTGCCTAGACTCTGCTGTGAGTCAGTGCAGGGACAGTCCTTCTGTTGTCTGGTTCGTAGAGAATCATGATTTTTGGACATTTCTTCTGTCTTAACCAGGTACATTATGACCAGTGGCAGGACCATGGAATCTACAAAGGAGTTCTTCTCAAAGCACAAGTACTTTGGTTTGAAAAAGGAGAATATAATCTTTTTTCAACAAGGAATGCTACCTGCTATGCAGTTTGATGGGAAAATTATTTTAGAAGAGAAGAGCAAAGTTTCCATGGCTCCAGGTCTGTGTTGATCACTATCTAATGTGATTAGAAGGGCTAATGATCTGAATAATCAAACTTCAATTAACTAAGTGAACCTTAATTGTTCTCTAAGATAAAAATGAATCAGGCTCTGGTAATACTTTCTTAAATAAAGCTAATCATTAGGAATGATCTTCAGAAGACTGATTTCTTTAAAAATCCAAAAATATAAATTGCCTAATAAAATGAAGATGTTTGTTTAGTCTCCCAATAGTTTTGAGATTTGTTTTAGAGAGTTTCATTCTCAAAAACTTACAATTAGCCAGTCTTTCTATCCAGTTCTTTCTCATCATTGGAGTCATTGTTATTGAAATATCTTTCAAAACATTCTTTGTGATTTTGTCAAGTGTTAAGAAGTGGTTTATGGATATGAGAAGTCATGTAGAAAGTTATGGATGTTATGGAATGGGGATAGGGACAACGAATCCTCTTATGACATTTCTGTTCTTACTTGGGAGAGATTACGTAGCCCTATAGTTCCCTGCTCCCCCTCCCCACCTTGTTCCAGTACTGGTACTATCTAGTGGTGGATCGACCCATGACCTTGAACCCTTGGTTTCTTAGGACAAGCTCAGATTGGAAAGTCTGCAAATGTCTGTGAAGGATCTTTTCTAGATAGGCCAGGTCCTGGGTTTGGGAGATGTCTGAATGATATACAACAGGGAGGAGATTTCGGCAGTGTATTAGAAAAAAAACTTCGAAAGTGGGATGGGTTGCCCTGTGAGGTAAGTTCCTATTCAGTGAGGTATTCAAGCAGAAGCTGGGCAGTCACTTCATGGGGATGCTCTAGAGGATATGTATGCTCAGTTGGTCTAGATTGTTTCCTGTGGCTCTTTCTAACTAGTGTGGGCCTGTGTGTATATTGTAGTAGCTCACACACACAAAAGTAATGAAGATGGTACACAAAATAGTTAGGAAGAGGATCAGGAAGAATATTTAGGATCATCATTGCATAGAATATGAGTAATGAAACAAGGCCAACTTGGATTTTTAACGCATGAAGGTAAAAAGGCTGTCTTAAGTATCATCAAGAGTTGGTGGGATGGAACTCATGACTAGAAAATGGAAATATGAAATATACTTTGTTTAAAATAATGTAATATTTATATAATAAAAGCAGTGAATCAGGTTAGATTGTTTAGCAAGTATATTATACCTATTTGGAAACTGAACCAGAGGTTGGAAGCCTGTTAGATAGATATGATTAGGAGATGAAAAAAGAGAAAAAAAAGGTGATAATTTTGTGGGAGGATCAGCTGAAGATATGCATAATACTTTCCTGAGACAGATAATAAGACTAGTACAGAGGAAAGAGATAGAGTCTTTGACTCAACAAAAATCTGATGAAAGTCTTATTCTGTGAAAAGCTTTGATTTAATTCTTCATTTGTCATATTGATTTTTTGTCTCTAAAGGCTGAAAAAACAACTCGGCCTACTTCCCTGGGCTTAATGCTGACCATTAAGGAAGAGTACAATAATTTTTGGAGTCAAAATAACTACACTGTCTTAGAGTAGGAAGTACGAGAATTCTGGGCCTCAACTTATGTCTTACATTTTTAGAATGTAGATTTCATAAAGATGAGAAGAAAGCTAGGGATGATGACATGGGCTAAGATTGTGAAAGGGAATGAGTGGAACCTGAAAAGCTCTGACTAATGAAATTATGATAACTTGGATAGAAATTTTTTTAATGAAACCTTTTAAGGAAAGCATTGTGTCTGTCAGAAGCAGGGTGTCTCTGAGCTTGGACTGTAAAAGGAAGCATGCAAAGCATGGAACACAGGTCCTGGGCCTAGTAGGGCACCTTAAAAAGAACGTAGTAGCCAGTGGAATGGGTTACCTTTCAATTAGACAGTAAGTTCCCTGTCCCCAAAAGTGTTCAAATGAGGCCACTCACAACTGTTAGAGATGTTGTGAAGGGGATGATTTTATTGCGTTATATCTAAGATTCCTTCCGACTTTAAGATTCTGTGATTCTGGTTTTGTTCTAAGATTTCCTCTAATGCCTAAAAGGTTCTGTTTGATGCTTGCAGTCTTAGGGGATTCTCTCCAACAGTCTTATTAGAGTTTTTAATAGAATAGTCTATTCTCAGTGCTCCAAGAAGCTCTCTAAGACTAGAAGGTGCAGAGAAGGTGGCAGCTTGCATTAGGAGAGGGAATTTCCTTATCTGGAAGTTCCCTCTATTAATTATATCACAGCTTAGCCCCTTTCCCCTAGAAGTGCTTACCAGGCTTCCTTTTACAATGCTTCCATTTAGCCACACTTATTCTGAAGTTTAGAGCACAGTGTTTGTCCCAGCATCTTCCTTGGCTGTATTGTCCAAGTGCTACATTTAGTACCTTGTTTGCTTCATTTAATCTCTGGAGCATTGCATGCCTCCAGTTTCTAACTCTGAGTTTTCAGTTTCCTAGGGGAGGCTTCCAGTTTAATGTCCAGGATAGCAAATTTAGGGAACCCATCAATGAACACTTCAGTTCTGCCACCACCCTTTGGTGAAGGAAGGGAATTCTGGGTGTCACATTCCTCTGTCACAGACTTTAGGACAGCAGACTGAAGGAGTATAAGATCACAGAGTTCTAGTTGGAAGGGACCTTAGACACCATCTGATCCAACCCCTTCATTTTACAGATGAGGAAACAGACCCAGAGAGGTTGAGTGATTTGGCCAGTCACATAACTAGTAAGTGTCAAGAGGCAGAATTTGAACTCAGATCTTCCTGACGCCAAGTCCTACCTTCTCTTCCCTCTGACCGACTGCCCTTCCTAGGTAAAGCTGCCCCTCAGGTGCTTCTTGTTGGGAGAGCTTCAGATGGTTGGCTGGCATTTATCAAGCACTTCATATGTGCCAGGGACTGTGTTAAATGCCTCTCTGACTTCACAAGGTTAAATTGTGCCCAAACATCTGCATGCTTACACAGAGAAGATGTGTGTGTATGCTCATGTACACCTCCCCTTCTTGAGGAAAAGTTGTGTCTTGATGCCCTTTTTTTATAATGCGATATCTTTGGCCTCTGGCTTCCTAACATTTAGTGATTGAGACATAAAGATTTTAGAGCTAGAGATGAGGTACAGTAGGCTCTTCTTGGAGACCCCCCTGTTACCCCATCTTGCCTTCCCGCCCTCCCCGCCCCAGGCTGGCATTCGTTCTCCATTAGACTGTATTGCTCATGCCCTATGTTGGTGCCTCATTGGTACCCTCCCCCTTTTATTGGGTTCCTCAATTCCAGTTTGTTTTGGGGGAAAAACACATAATTTTTGTCGCCTTTTTTCCTTTGAAATCAAAATGCTCTCCTACTTTTAGATATTTCAGAGGGGCTTAATTGCAAAGTATGGCAAAGAAATAATTGATGGGTGAAATCCTGTCGTCAAATCCTGCTTCAGACTTAGTTGTTTGACCCTGCCTCAGTTCACTATACAAATATTGCTGTTGTTGTTATTATTATTATTATTATTATATAACAGTAGAGGACATTTCCATTGTTACAAATATTTTAAATAAAATCCAGTCTTTCATGAATGCCCCTCATAAAGATGTCCTGTCCAATATCATTTCACAGTAAACTTCAGCTTACCAAGGCAAAAATCCCTTGTAATCTAGTTCAGCTTTTCCCACACGGCTGAAAGGAACAGTTCAGTGTTGACAGGAGCCAGCGTTGGGGCAGCCCCCGGGTCAGTGATGCTCCCGGGGCTAGTCTGCAGATACTCTTCACATTGCAGCATGCACATGAAAGTTGTTTCTGTGGAACTAAGTTTCCCCGTAACATTAGTTCATCAAATTTTGTGTTTTCATGGAGCCATGTAAAGATGGTAGGCAGAGTAAATAACTATTAACTGGAGCTAGTCTTTTTTGTTCTTGGCCTTGTTTTTATCTGAATCAGGGAATCATAGATATAGAGCTGGAAAAAACCGAGGGCATCTGATCGAACCCCTCAAAGGTGAACCAAGGCCCTTGGGAAAATGGCGTTTAGCTACACAGGCAGCAGAAGGAGGATTCAAATTCAGGCCTCTGACCACAGAGCCATTGTTCTTTCCACTGGAATATGCTGCATTTGCCTATTAGCTAATAGCTCATTTCTTGTTCCAGAATTAACCTGGATCTCAGTCACAAACTGCTAAGTTCAGCTTGGTAAAACTTGATAAAGTTTTTGGTAAAAAAAGAAGTTGGTAGAACTTGAGATGTGACAGTTTTCTTAGAATCTCCTTTCCTAATCTTTCTGTCCAGTTCCTCTCTTCCTTCATCTTTCCCAACAGGCTCTTGATCTTGGGCTTAGACCTTCTGCCCCAGGATTGTTCCTTTCTCCTCTGAGATGCTCTGACCTGGGGAAATACTGATCTTGCCCCTTGTCTTCCTCTGGGAGTGAGATGATGCCCATCCCAAGGATCCAGCAGTATGTGAACTTTAAGAAGGAGCTATGTAATTACAGTAGATGTTTAATAAATGTCTGTAGAATTAAATCCTAACCTGTGTGTTTCCCAGGGATCTTGGTGCTCTGTCCTCTGGAAGCTACCTCTTTCTCAGTAGCCTTAGTCTATACTTAGTGGGTCTTGCCCTTTTAAATATTAGCCATTCTGTCCTAGGGTTCCTTTCCATTGCGGGCCATCTAGCTATCCTAATACATGGAACCTAAGTTAGCTTGATTCCCCGTTAGCCAGATTCTTTATATCCTGCCACCTGCATGGTGGTTCCTTTCTATTGACCTGTTGAAATGATCTGTTCTGAGCTTTTTTCTCTCCAGGTTTACTTCATTTGGGATCCTCATGCTTAGACCATTGATAGCACTGTGCTAACTGATAATTACTCTATCTAGTTAACACTGGGTAACTCTGTTTGGCCCTTCCCTCCCTCTTACCCCATGTCTTCCTCTAAGATTTTCGCTGTTTACTGATGAGGGAGTAGCTTTCTAGACTATGAACTTCACATGAACTACACACAGATATGTGCTTGGGACATAGAACATTTGGTATGAACATATTTCTTCCATGCTCCCAAACAATCACAGTAGGATTATATTGCTGCATACAGACAGACTACCCCTTCACCACACCACTCCCCCTTTTCCCCACTTCTCCACCCAGGGGTTAAGTGACTTTGGTAAAAGTTACTACTAGTTAGTAGCTGAAGCATAGTTAAGAATCCAGGTGTCTTGCCTGCCCCTTCAGGACACCTTCCATCATGCCACTCTCATTTCCGGTCAGGTGTAAGGAATATCTGTTTTTGGTGTTCTAATGATAGGTAGACCCACCTGGGATAAATGGTGAATGCTGCCTTTGAATGCTCCTGTTTTCTCTGTGACAGTAACAATAATAACAATGATCGCTAATATTTGATAGGCGCTTTGAGGCCTGATATTGATCTTCACAACAACTCTGTGAGATAGCTGCTGTCATCATGCTGTCTTCACAGAGTAGGAGAGAGACTAGTGAGTGACCTGCCCAGGGTTAACCAGTTAGGAGCTCATTGAGGTGGTGTTCACACCCAGGGCCTCCTTGTTCCAAGGCTTGTGCTTTACTCAGTTACCTCAAGTGTGTCTTATTTAATAAACTTGTAAAATACCGTGTGTTATCCTTTCATGGATCCTGAGCATCTAAAGGTCTTCACCATCTTTAGGGCACCCTCTGTGTCATCCAGTTCCATTTGGACTGGACTGGGTATCCTCCATGACAGTGGAGAACGCCTTTGCTGAGCACTTGCCTCCCAGTTTTGTGCTTTGCTTGATATTTTTCCAGACTTGGGACCAGGAGGGCCAGGGTTCAAGTCCCATCTTAGAGGCTAATTAGCTATGTAACCATGTACAGGTCTTAGGAACGTAACGTATATGTGTGATATACCCAATTGGAAGCCTTTCAGGTTTACATTTTTGTTCTCCTGAATAAGATTAAAAAACAAAACAAAAAATCGAATCACGTATATTCTACCTCTCTTAGTTACATGACTGTGAAGCTGTGGTCTGCTGGAGAAAATAATTAACAAAACCCTGCCTATTCACTTCTTCTGTTTATATGAAAGAAATCCTCAACATGTGCATATTAAACTTTCTCATAAAGATTTTATGGTTGTACTCTGAACCTAATAATCTTCAGCAGTCTCCAGTTTGTATTGAGAGGCAGTATGATGTGGTAAAAAAAAATGTGGGGCTTGGAGTCAGGTGACCTAGGTTCTCATCCTGCCCCAGGCACTTATTAACTGTGTTTCCATGGTTGAGTCACTTCACCACTAAGAGGCTTAGCTTCCTCATCCATCAAGGGGAGGAAATAATATTTGGACCACCTACCTCTAAGGGTTGTTGTGTGGAAAGTGTTTTGTGTACCTTTAAGTTCTATAATGTGAATTCTTGCTGTTAGAGTAGAATATTTTTCTCCATTTTCTTCAGAACTTAGTTGTTGACTCCCTTCCCCTTTATGTTGATAATTTGAGGAAGCCTCTTATACAGTATGCTTTGAGAAAGGCACACTGATATGCTTATGTCTCCCTTGCCCCTCCCCCCCAAAAGGGATGAAAATGGGCTGCTGCTGGGTGATTACCTGGAGGCAGACAGGCCTAAATATTTTTTTTAGGGTTGTTTTGGATTTTAAAAGTGTGGTCATTATTTTGTGAAAAGGTGTGATGGGTGCACATTATTGAAAGTCACCTGTAGCTTTGTAGGGAGAAAATAGATGTGAAACTACACTAGAAACTGCCTGGGGAGGGGGGACCTTTAAGAGATACCAATTTATTTCCATTTCCATTCTTTTAGGGTAAAGTACAATAGCTTGATTCACTGGCAAGTGACTTTGAATGACACCTTCACACGTTCATATTTTTGAGGCTGAAGAATGTGTCTTTGGGGCTGTAACTTCATTATTGGTTTATTTCAGGGAGATATTAATAGAACCTGAAACCATATGAAATAACATTTACTTTTTAAAGAATGTGGTATTTTACCAGTTTATTAAATAAGACATATTTGAGGGAACTGAGTAAAGAAAAGAGGCAGAAAATCCAAGTTACTTAAATGATATGCTACTTATCTTGGTTAAACATTGCTTATAAAAGTATGTTGTCATCTAGCATTTGACTCCTTTCTGGAGCATTTGATTTTCTAACTTTACAATGTGAAACTTTGGTTTTCAGAAGTCTTCATACCAATTTAGAAATGTACACAACTTTTTGGGTAACATTTCGTGGGCTTTGGTTCATTATTGAATTGTTTTACTTCTCAGACGGGAATGGTGGTCTTTACCGAGCACTTGCAGCCCATGGCATTGTGGAAGATATGGAGAAAAGGGGCATTTGGGGAATCCATGTCTACTGTGTTGACAACATCTTGGTGAAAGTAGCAGACCCACGTTTCATTGGATTCTGCATTCAAAAGGGAGCAGACTGTGGAGCAAAGGTAACGTACTGCCTGGATTAGCTACAAGGAGGCTTTATTTTTATCCCCTATGAGTCAATAGAATAATGTTAACAATCGTCTTAGGTTTTAAACTTGTCCAATCAAGGTGGCCTTGTGAAGGTCTTCAGTCATTATCTCTGGGGTGGAGATCGTCTGACCTCCTCCCCTCATTTTACAGCTGAGGAATCAGCTCTAGAGAGGAGGGAGACCTAGTGTCTCCCAAGACAAGCACTGGAATCTCTAGGATGTCGGCCTCCTCCCCCAGCACCCTTTCCACTGGAGTAGTCAAATGATTTAGCATTCCTACTCTCCCCCTGGGTAGTGTCTCATTGTGGGCTGGCCTGGTTAGGTGCCTGCTTGAGACAGTTTTTAGGAAGACATTCAAGGTGGGTGGTGGCAGATTTTGTAAGCCCTTTTGCTGGAAGAAAAGGTGATCTAAATGTAGCTATGAAAAGGGTTGGTATGATCTTTTCACTTAAGAACTTTGCTTGAGCTGCCTTCCCTCTATTCTTTTTAAGTAGTCTTCACTTGCCTGTTGAAGTGGTTTGAGATAATGATAATTGCTGACATTCACAGAGTGCTTTATGAGTCATAAAGCACTAGCCTCACAACCATCCCCTGTGGCAGATAAGGCCAGGATTTTTCTTCTTCTTGTTCCTGTTTTACAGGAGAAGTGACTTGCCTGTGGTCATATTGCTAGTAAGTAAGTGGTAGAGTTGGTCTCTTGATGCCAGGGCTGATGACTTTTCAGCATTTTACCAGACTGATTTCCCTATATCATCTGATGTAGTGCAGATCAGACTTTGAATCAGGGACATTTCAAGTTATTAAACATATACATACATACATAACGTTAGTACATGCATACATACATATGAATACACATATGCACTTATACATTTATGTATGTCATATATGAATGTACTATATATGCTCTGTGGAAACTTTATACAGTTCTTCCTCTTCAGGGTTTCAGTGGTTCTTGGAGAATCCTAGCCATTCATCAAAGCACTGTGGTAATGAAAATAAGCATCATGAACTTGATATTGTTTTCTATTCAAGAACATACACTTTACGAGAACTAGAGCAAATGAAAACTACATAATGTTTGTTAGAATGGCATTAGAAGAATGTGTTCTGGTTAGTGAGTGGTACCATGCATTTGAGTTTCAAAAAAATGACCTTGGGTTAGCTTTGCTCACAATAGGGACAAATAGCCTTATAGCCTGCTTTTTGTTGTCTGTGCTGCTGAGAGCAGTTTGGATTTGAATAACCTGTCCTGTCAGGCAGAAGAGAACCTTGGTTTGAAGATAGCATTCAGCAATACATCTGTGGCAGTGGTGGGTCTGCCCGTTCGATTGGAGTTCTAACCCCGTTGCCTATAACAAGGTTAATCACAGTGAGGAATAAGAACAAAGACTCCAGCTAGTGAGTAGAGACTACTTAGAAATACGCTGTGGCATGGCATGGCCCTGCTCTTGTGCCTCATTGCAGTACCCTGGCATTGGGTTCTTAAAGGCTGTACCAGCAAAACATAAACTCTGGCATGCCCTACCTAGCTTAGAAAGGCCTTTAGTATGGCCTGGCCATGGAAGCTAACTGTTGTCTCCACCAGCCTAGCCCAGTTAGCAGGATGGCTGTGGGGTATTTTTTTTTGGGGGGGGGGTACAGCAGCCCTCAAATATCATCTAAGTTTGAAGTACACTGACAATTATAATTCTTAAAATATTAAAATAATAGCACATAGACAAATAGAAGCTAGGGGTCCCTGGAGAAACAGAGCTCATAGGACTGATAAGACTTCCTTTTTTCTCTTTCTAAAATCTGTTCCTTATAGATCTAAAATTGATTTTATTTGTCATCCCTGTTTAGATAGGAAGCATCCAAGGTCCACTAATGGAAACAAAATGTAGTTCTCACTCTTATCCACTTGGTGCCGCTCTTCTGTTTAATATCCATACATTACTTTAGCACCATAGGTAGCATACTGGGCTTTTCAAGCTACAAGGGATCTTTGGAACGGGATCGTACAATTTAGAGGCCTTTCTGGATGTTAGCAGTCATCTAGTCTAATTGCCTCCCTCTCCCTTTACAGATGAGGAAACTGAGTTTCAGAGTGGCCTGTGGTCACAGAGATACTGTTGGTCACAGCACTGGACTCGGCTCTTTCCTCCCTCAGAGCCCAGTGCTGTATCTACTGTCTCTAAGGTCACACAGTGAGTGCTAGAGCTGAGACTGAAACTCAGGCAATTGGAATCTAGGGGCCCTGTGGCTTGTAGAGTAGTGGAGTGAATGTTAGACTTGCTAGTTGGGAGGTACTGGTTAGTTATATGACCTTGGATAAGTCACTTAACCTCTCTCATGTGAAATAGGAATAATGATAGCACCTACATCATGAGGTGTTGTTAATACATAAACTCTTCATTGAGGCTAGTTATTATTATTATTATTGGCCCCTGATTCTGTTTTTGGCATTATAACACACATTAAGGACTCCTTTTGATATGGGTTAGACTAGGTGACCATTTAGGGCCCATCTAACTCAAATTGTATGATTTTTTTTGTCTATAAAACAAAGCAATTCAGGTAAGACTGATAGTACGTTAACAGTAATACTTTTTATAATTCTACATATATCAGTGTTTTTTGGCTTGTTAAATCAAAATGGTTTATGTACTTTGAAAAACTGTAGTAGTAAATGTTTTATTGATACGTTCTTGGAAAAGTTTAATTAGTTCCAATATAATTATGGGAATAATAATAACTGATATTTTATATCATATGAAAGAGGGATTAGGTCTGCCCTCATGTAGTTCTGGATGGCAGAACTAATATTAATGGGTGAAAGTTATTGAGAGGAGGATTTTGGCTCAATGTGATAATTATAATATTAGCTTTTGCTTACATAATGCTTTAGGGTCACAAAATACCTTTTAAAAATAGATGCCAAAAAAGATGCCTTTTTGTTTTTATATGATATTCATTCTTGAATATATACAATTCTCACTTCCCTTCCTTAGTGAGCCATCTCTTGTAACAAAGATTAAAAAAGAAAAGTGGTAAAAACCAGTTCAGCAGAACCATCCAGTGCTTCAGTGTATGCCGTATTCTGCAGCCACAGTCCCTTACCTTTTCAACAAAGGGAGGAAGGTGCATTTTCTTAAGTCTTCTCCAGGGCCAGACTTGGTCATTATAAGGCCAGAACATTTAGCATTTTCCCTCTCGAACAGTATTATTGTGGTCATTGAGTATACTGTTTTCCTGCTTACAGAGAATTTTTACTATCTTACTATATGCTTGGTATGTCGTTGGCACTTCACAAATGTTTTTCATTCACTCATGCATTTGATTCCCTTGACAGCCTTGTGTGATAAGTGGTGCAGGGATTATTATTCATTCCTATGTTATAGGTTATGAAACAGAAGCTCATCCTTCACTCGGTCAAGGTTTAGTCTCTTTTCCTCTGGCCTCTCCTGCCTCCATTCAGATCCAAAGTGACATGAATATATTCCTGAGGTTCAGCTCTGACTGTGTTGCTCAGAACACTCCCCCAGGGCTTCACGGCCGTGCAGACACACCTTGTTTGGCATTTCAAGCCCTTCCTAATCTGAGGCCAGCCTAGCCGCCTTTCCAGGCTGGTTGCATTGTCTCCTCCTTCATGTCCTCTTCCCATGTTCCACACAGATGAGCTGCCTTGCTCGTGGCTGCATACATGCTCCCTCTGCCATCTCTGTGCCTCTGGTCAGGCCCTTCCCTGTCCCTGCGCTGTTCTTCCTGCTCACTTCTCCCTCTTAGAATCTCTAGCTTCTTCCAAAGCTTAGCACATCATGAGGGCTACATGAAGACCCTCCCTAGTTTCTCCTAAGTGTTCCCTCTCCAAATTTACTTTGTACCCGTTTTGTGCTTACTTCTCTGTGTAAATATTTCCTCCCCAAAAATATAAACTTCCTGAGGGCACCTATTATTTCATTTCCTTCTCTATATTCCTAGTGCCTAGTACGTAGTGGGTATGCAATAAGAACTTGTGATTGATTGATCTAGGCCACATGTAAGTGTCGGGACTTTGATTCAAACCTGGGTCTCCTGACCCCCCAGTCCAGAGCTCTTTTTGCTTTCTTTACCACAGAACTGTCTGACATAGCTGCCCAGCAGTGGAATGGGCTGTCATGGGATGATGAGCTCCTTACCACCAGAAGTGGTTAGGCAGGGGCTAGCTGCTAGACAGCTGCCTCTCTGGAACACTGTGGAAGGGGTTTTGCATGAAGGAGGATGCTGGACTTGGTGACCTTTAAGGCCTGTCTATGCTTAGATGCCACAAAATCAAGGAGTGATTTCTTGTGATATTTAGAAATGGTAGTCATAGGAGATAATCAAATAAATGTGAGATTTTTAATTTTTTAAGTATCTTGTATCAGTATGTTGACTTTTTAGCTACCTCTATTTTTTCTTATTACAAAGATATTGTAAAAATAAATGAAAACTTTTTCAAAGACTTCTGGAATAGAAATATTCAGTTGGCCAACTCATTTTTGAACATCTGCTATAAATGTGCAAGGTACTAAAAAAACTATAAAAATAAGTAATAAATACACATCTATTACTTTTTTCCCTAAAATACATTTGTTGATATTCTAATGGAAAAAAAGAAAATAAAAATTTCAACTTTAAAAAGTACTTTACAAATCTAGTAAAATGAGAAAAATGTGTTCATCATAGTTCCCCAGTACTGGGTAAAATTTAAAACAATTCAGTTTCAAAATGTTCCATCATCCCATCACTGAACTTGAGCTTATTACTTATTTGCACCTGCTCACTGCTGAAAGACATCGGTAATGTTAAAGATGCCAAAGAAACATTTTGTCACAATGGAAGGAGTTTGAATGTCTGAACTTAGTCCGGATTTTAAGCCTCAGGTTGGAAGCCTACAGGGCCGCAGAAGATGTGAGATATTACTCTCTGGGAAAAAGTGCTGGATATATGTATTCAGAAAACAGAAGGATTGACTCTGCAAAAGTAGCAAGGAAGGTGAGTGTGGATGGCTGTCATTGAGTATCTAATCGAGCCTCCTCCGGCACACCTGATGAGTGGCTGCTTGAAGACTTCCAAGGAGAAGGAACACACTCCTTTCCCAGAGAGCTCATTCCAGTTTTCAGTAGTGTTGTTAGGAGCTTTTTAGTTACATCAAGCCTAAATCGCCTTTTCACAATTTCTACCCGTTGCTCTAAGTTTTGTCCTCTGGATCCAAGCAGCCCTTCAGATGCTTGAGGATAGTGATTACATCCTCCCTAAATATTCCTTTCTTGAAGGGAAACACACTCAGTTTCTTCATCAAATCCTCGTATGACATGAACTTGAAACCCTTCAGCATCTTGGATATCCCTTTCTGAAGTTCTCCAGCATATGATTCTTCCTAAAATGTGGTGTCCAGAACTGCACACGATGTTCCATAGACTGCTCTGATGCTGGTACGATATAAGGAAATCATCACCTCCTTCCTTCTGGACCCCAGGCTTCTGTTAATGTGTCCTAAGATCACATCAGTTCTCTTGGCTGTCAAATTAGTTAAAACTAGCAGTCCCTTAAAACTGCCATTATCTTTTTTCAGAACCTCTCTTTAGTTTGACTTTCCTTATCTTGTGAAGGTGATTATTTTCGAACCTGTGTAACCCAGTCAATCATCTAATTCCCAGTTGTCTCCCAGATTGGTTAGAGTAGACTGATTCGCAGTGACACCAACAGGGCATTAGGGTGGCTTTCTTCCCAAGCCCTAGCTACCAGATCTGACTTTCTAGCTTTTATCTTTGCCATTTTGATGGGTATGAAGTAGAACCTTCTAGGGTTTTTTTTGTTTTTTTTTTTTGGTGAGGCAATTGGGATTAAGTGACTTGCCCAGAGTCACACAGCTAGTGAGTGTTATATGTCTGAGGCCAGATTTGAACTCAGGTCCCCTGACTCCAGGGCCGGTGCTCTGTTCACCGCACCACCTAGCTGTCCCCCAGTTGTAATTCTTGTTTCACTTATTGGTGATCTGGGGAACTTTTTCATCTGGTTATTGATGCCTTGCAATTCTTTTGAAAACTGTTGATGTCTTTTGACCACTTATCTTTTGGGTAGATGGATGTCTTTTCAGAAATTTTAGTTGTGATGAGTTCCTTGTGGAACCACATTAATCTCTTTAAAAACTTTTTATCTTCATTGGAATCATTTGTGTTTCTGCAGAATCCCATACTGTTTGAATTTACTGTTATCCATATGATACACTGCATCAGATTGCTTACCCTCTCGGGGGGGCACGGGGAAAGGGAGGGATAGAATATAGAACTCAAAACTTTTAAAAAATTGTTTTAACTTTTAATTGGGGAAAATTTTTAAAAAATATATTCATATATGCATACAGATATACATATATGTATATACATACACACACGTATACACACACACACATAGAATTTACTGGTATCCTCTCAGTTCTTCCTATGAACTCTTGAGCCCTCCTTGGACCTAGGGTTTATATCAGACAGTGCTGGTCCTTGTCCTTCCTTAATTATTATGAATAGGCTAATGAACTGGATGAGGGCTGGTTTATTAATAGATGTTTGCCATGCAGCTTTATCTTTCCAGCAAGCTTCCCTTTCGGTTCAGTGTTGCTCCAGTTGTCCTCTGAGGCTCCTTCCAGGTGAGCTCCATGGTAGTTCCGTGGTGAAACTCCACCACTCGCTTATGTAAGAATGGCTCTGGGTGCTGGTCAGAGCAAGCGCATCCAGCTGTCGCTGGTTTGTCAGCGGGAGGCCTGGCAGTAGATTCTCATAGGTAACAGTGTTGTCACAGACTGTGTTTGCTTCTTATGATCATAGTGTTGAAGAATAGTTTGTTTAACCTAATGAAAAGGATTCAGTGGATCCAACTTAATAATAATACATGGCACTTTATTACATAATATGACATTATATAATATAGCAATCATACAATATTTCAGAGTTTAGCTTATTAGATAGAGCCTTGCCACAGTCCTGTAAGGTAGGTACCTCAGGTGGGGTTACTGCCATTTTATAGAGGAGGACCAACCCTGAGGCCACAAGGCTAAGTCACTTTCCTGTGATCTTAGACCTAGTGAGTGTCAAAGGTGGTCTTAGAACCCAGGCCTTCTTGGCAGCACATCTTGCATTCCATCCACTCTCCCACTCTGCCTCTCGTGAGCATTTGCTTCAAGCTGAAGGTTCTCCAGCTTGGGTTAGAACTAAAAAGTTTTTTTTTTCAAGCAACCTAAGTTATAAAATGATGAAACCAAGAAATGTCTTCAAATGAAACAAAATTCTTAAATTTTCCAGTGTCCTTTGCTCCGTTGCATGTTTGCTTTCATTTTCCTTTTTGAAACTTGATGGTATGTGCTTTTTTACTCCTCTCATAATGTTCTTTTAAGCCCCTAAGAAAGGTCTTTTGATGCTTTCAGCAGACATTGTAGTCCTTCCTTGTTTGACATACACATTTTGAGTTTGGAATGTTGAATCTGTGTTTTGTGTAAGCAGGAATATGATAGGAATGCCGATTTTATTTCTAGAGTGAGACTTCAACTTGCCTTCTTGTACAGTCACATCACCTAGATCGTTCTATACACAAAACCAGTTGGTTATGCTCTTGGGGAGTTATTTCTCCCTCTTACTTTTTTCTTCTCCTTCTTTCTTCTTCCAAATACCTGGCACTTTGGTGTCATTTTTGGTTGGGAGTTCAATTGTTTTTCTCTGATCCACACATTAAAGCCAGCATTAGGGTCAAGGGTATCCAATTGGTTGGTATAAATTCTGTATGCTTTTGAGACTCTTTGCTTGTCTGAGTGTCCATTGATTGTGAATCATAGAATGATCATCATAACTGACATGTGCATAAATGAGTAGAACTAAAATGGGCCTTGGAAGCCATGTAGCTCAGGCCTTTCATTGTACAGTGAAGGACATCGAGGCCTAGAGATGTGGAATGGCTGCCCTAATCATAGCTCATTAGTGGTGGAGTAGCAAGCAGCTAGGTGGGAATGATGAGTATATGTTCAAAGTGACTTTTGTACTTAGAAAAGAATAACATGTAAGAAATATTTGGATAATAAAATGAGAATGGTGTCAATTCCTGAAGCACCTTTCTCTTGTGAATCCCAAAGAATCATGTTATTTCATTTATCTTTTGATTAGCTCTGGTTAGGTTCAGATAGATTTAGAAACCGTTAATGGATAGAGTAATTTGATTGCAGGCACAGATTTATTGTCAGAATGGGGATTAAACTCCAGGTTTAATTATTTCTAGTCTACTTTCCTTTAAGCATGTATGTATGGTATGTATATTCATAGTAGTATGCATATTCAATATGTATATTGAATTTTATATATTTATATATGTGTTTTTAAAAACGAATCTTCTAGTTGGAGATTTCTAATTAGGCAAGCTGACTAGGAAGGAGACAGCTCATTTCCATATGAAATTAAGAAATATTCCATATGAAAACATGTAAGGATATTCAGCTAATCCAGGCTGACTAGATGGTCTAGTGTTTTGTTTCCTCTGCTCCATCATATCACTAGTCTGATGTTCCATCATGGTGTGGAGCTAACCCTAGGTTCTTAAAAATTATTTTAACAGAGTACAGTCTCTGTTAGGTTCTCCTAAGTCTTTACCTCTAGGCTTGGCAAGGGATAACATGTCTAATGACTGAGGACCAGCCTGACATTCTTCCTAACCAGAAGTTCTTTGTCTTTTGTGTATCATGGACCCCTTAGGGCAGGCAGTCTGATGAAATCTTTGTGCCCCTTATAAGAATCATGTTTTAAAAAGCAAAAATTAAAATACATAGTATTACAAGGGAAACCCATTATTTAGAAATGGAATTCTCAAAATAAATTCCTTTAAAAGTTTTTGAACCCAGGGTTAAGAATCTCTGACTCTAAAGTTCTATTTTGTTTTTGTTTTTGCTAGCAGAGAAATACTAATTAATAAAACCATAGCAAAGGATGCTGAAGCAAGTCAGCAGCATTTGAGTATGTTCTCTTTTCTTTCACTTGTGGGCAGGTTGTGGAGAAGACGAACCCTACGGAGCCTGTTGGGGTAGTGTGTAGAGTTGATGGTGTCTACCAGGTGGTAGAATATAGTGAAATCTCACTGGCCACAGCCCAGAGGCGAAGCCCCGATGGACGGCTGCTGTTCAATGCAGGGAACATTGCCAATCATTTCTTCACTGTGCCTTTCCTGAGAGATGTGGTCAAGTATGGACCTTCCAGAGCCCTTACTCCTCCCATTTACTCTCCATCTGTAACCCTAAATGTTCAGCTTTTGTTCCTGACAGCTTGAAGTCGTAACCCCCCAAATCAGGAGACTCAGACTGACCTGTGGGCAGTGTCACCCCAACATGTAACATTTGTACATATCTGTATTCATCTGTCATATCCATAATCTCATCTGATCTTTACAGTAACCCTCTGAGGGAGCAAGAGAGGCAGGTTTACCAGCTATGTGCCTGGAAATAAATTATTTACACATTCCAAAATCATTACCTTATCTGTAAAATGGGAGTAGTTGTTCCTACCCTGCCCCTCCCTGATAGTTCTGTGAAGATTAAATGAGGTAATGCATATGCCAAGTGCTTTGCAAAGCTATATACAGATGTAAAGGGTTTTTATTATTAATAAAATTATTGTTTTGTGTAAGAACCATCTTAGCTAAGTTTGGAAAAGCTGAATAGTAGGAAACTGATCACCCAGTGATGAATTTGACCACAATAACTACCTTGTTGGAGGAAATGCCCACGTCAGTGAGATTAGAGATCATTTGAAACACTGAAATATTATAACTATATTGTCAGTAAATATTTGAGTGCCTACTGTGTGTCAGCCACTGTGTTAAGCCCTGGGGATACAAAGATAGAACACAGCCCTTATTCTCAAGCTTACAGTCTGCTGGGGGAGACAGCGTGCAAAAGACTGTACGAAGAAGAGAAATACAGGATAAAAGACAGGAGATGATCAGCAGAGAAGGAAGGGGAGATTTGGAAAGGCTCCCTGTACAACATGGGATTGTATCTGGGACTTGGAAGAAGCCAGGGAAGCCAGGAGGTGGGGATGAGGTGGGAGGGAATTCCTGGTGTGAGGGGGCAGCCAGTGAAAATGCCAGGTTGGCAGACCAGTGTCAGTGGATCACAGGGTATGAGAGGTTGTAAGGTGTAAGAGAATGGAGTAGTGGGGCAGAAGGGAGGGACAGGTTGTGAAGGGCTTTGACTGCATTTTATATTTGATCCTGGACGTGATAGGAATTCCCTGGAGCCTGTTGAGTAGACAGTTAAGTGACATTGTCAAATCTGTGCATTAGGAAGAGCGATTTGATGGCTCAGTGGAGGATGGATTGTAGAGGCATGAGACCTAAAGCAGAGAGGCCAACTAGTGGCAATTATAATAGTTCAGGCATGAGGTGATGAAGGCCTGCAGGGGGTAGCAATGTCACAGGTGGCAAGGGGGTGTTAGAGGTTACAGAGGTCAAAAAGAATGTAGCAACAGATTGGACATGGGTGGTGAGAATGAGGAGTCCAGGTGACTGGGAGATTGGTGGTACCTTCCACAATAGTAAAGATGTTGTGAAGAGGAGAGGGCTTGGAGGGAGAGAGAATGAGTTCCGTTTTGGCCATATTGAGTTTAAGTTGTCTGTGAGACTTCTAGCTTGAGATGTCCGATAAGCAGTTGGAGATATGAAACTTAAGGTTAGTATAGAAGTTAGAGCTGGATAAGCAGATTTGAGAATCGTTAGCCTAGAGATGATAATTGAATCCCTTGGAGATGATGGAGTCACCAAGTATTTAAAAAAAAGAGAAGAGGGCCCAGGACAGAGACCCAGGGGGCACCCATTTAGTGGGCATGACCTGGATGGAAATCTAGCAAAAGAGACTGAGGAAACCCAAGAGAGAGCAGTATCCTGAAAACCTAGAGAGAAGAGAGTATCAAAAAAGAAGTCAAGAAGGATGGGAATCGAGAAGAAAAGGCCATTTGATTGAGCAACTAAGTGATCATTGGTAGCTTTGGGGAGAGCAGTTTCAGGTGAATGGGGAGATTGGAAGCAAGACTGTAGAGTTGTAAGAAGATAGTGAGAGGAAAGAAGTGGAGTCACCTATTGTAGGGAGTTTAGCCACAAAAGGGAAGACAGAGATGGGATGATAAATACTGGGATGGATGGATCAAATGAGGTTTTGGTTTGGTTTTTTTTTTTTTGAGGCTAAGGAAGACATGGTCACGTGTGTGGGCAGTAGGGAAGCTGACAATAGACAAGGAGAGATTGAAGATTAGTGAGAGAATGGGGGATAGTAGAAGGAAAGATGAAATGGAACGGAATTGCTTGTTCACATAGAGAGGTTTGCCTTGTCAAAGAGAAGGGTCACTTCATAATATGAAATGGGGTGAAGGTGGAGGTAGTGGCAGAAGGCATCTGGGGAGTGTGAATTGAGGGGGGAAGAGACATCATCTTACTCAGATGGGCTCTTGCATCACATCATATTTCTTTGTAGATATGCTAAGACAGTAAGAGCACCTGTCCTGTAATCTTGCAGAGCTAGTGATGTTTTAAATGAGAAACTTTTAACATTTTGTAGTAATAATGGGTATTAATAGTAAATGTTCACCTATGATGTTATAATTGCTGGAAAGAATGTAGCAATAGACCTAACCATGGTATTGTTTGTGGTCCCTTCGCCATCTTGGATCTCTTCTTCTTGATTAAAACAGGTTAAGCTAAAAGGAAAACATAAAAAGAACCAAAACATGAGGCCAGATTCATCAATTTGTGCTATATTTTTGGCTTATGAATAATGTAAGCCCATATGTAGGCAAGTTTGTTCATTTTAAAATTTATATAATTTATAATTTTATAATTTTAGAAGTGAGTTGAAACTTAATAGTTGGTCCTGGATACTTTTAGTATTTCATTCCTGGGAGCTTTGGTGTTGAATGGCTCTCAATGATTAAGACACATTTGGACTTGGAAATTTGGGTGACAGATGTAATACAAATAGATTACCTAGCATTCCAAGTCTGGAAGCTTATGACTTCATTCTTTTCCCCACCTAGCATTTATGAACCACAGTTGCAGCACCACGTGGCTCAGAAGAAGATTCCATATGTGGATACCCAGGGGCAACTCATTAAGCCAGACAAACCAAATGGGATAAAGATGGAAAAATTTGTCTTCGACATCTTTCAGTTTGCTAAGTATGTTTTCTGCTGTGCCCAAACAAGATTAAACAAACGTAATGCCATCTCTTACTCACTGTGCTGCCCCCAAAGAAAGACTTGATAAGCTAATATTATGTCTGTGGTACCAGACATGGTTACTTGATTACAAGTGTTCAATCTAAACTTACTATCTCTGCCCCATATGTGAAGCCTCTTTCCTAGTAGTTTGGTTAGAATTGTCCATGGGATAAATTCCTGAATTCATCACTGACCTTATCTGGTTGGCTCCCTTACAAACTGAACTGTTTCTTTTGGTTCCAATCCTATGGCCGATAAGATGAAGGATCGACTGTTTTGTATTTAGAAGCTATTTCTGATCTGTGAATAAATGTTTATCTCATTGCAAATTTTTGAAACTGCAGAACTCTCTGAAGCAGATACCATTTCTGTTTTGAAATGAGCTTCTCAGAGTTTGATTAACATAAGAAGAGCTAACATTTCCCTTGCTCTGAATAGCTTCTCCTTCAATATGTCTAAGAGATCCTTTGGCCTCTTTCTTTGTGGTACTTTTGGCTTAAAACAAATTTTAGCATAGTCTTTCCTCATGTTAGGATTTCTAATTTTTCTGAAATACACTTTTCATTTGAGATATGAACATAACCACCTCAGTTCCACATTGGAAAGAAAAATCTCAGGTTTCCAGTGTGAAGGACTGAAACTGATCCATAAACATTAATTTATGTAGCATTCGTGTGGGATTAAACTGAGAGCATAGTATTGAAGTTGAAGGGTGTTGTTATGTCGGGAGATAGCTAGGCTTGTGTTATTTCATAATTGTCTCTTATGGTTCTACTCCAGGAAGTTTGTGGTGTATGAAGTATTGCGGGAAGATGAGTTCTCGCCCTTGAAGAATGCAGACAGTCAGAATGGGAAGGACAACCCCACGACTGCGCGGCATGCGTTAATGTCCCTGCATCACTGCTGGGTCCTCAACGCTGGGGGTCACTTCATAGATGAAAATGGGTCTCGTCTTCCTGCCATTCCTCGGTAAGGACAGTTCCTGCTCACTCTGTGACCCTGGGCATATCCCCTGGGACTGTGCAGCTTCCCACTTCTCTTTCACATAGTCCATTATTCTCCACTCTTTTAGAAAGGGGATAATTGAGATTTGAGCGGTTCTTCATGTGAAGAATTTGGCTATGATGATTGCCTCAGAGAAAACTAGATTATTTTCCAGTTAAAGATTTAACTACCCTGAATCTCTTGTTATCATAATATGCCATCTTATCATTAGTTACCTATTGAATAGTAGATGACAAGTACTTTCTTTTTATATCCCATACACTTTTTATGTGGTGAAAGGGGCAACGTGCTGTAGTGGACAGAGAAGTGGCCTGAAGCCTGGGAGACTTGGGTTCAAGTCCTATCTCGGACACCTTTTTGGCTGTTATCACCCTGGGGCTTTAGGCCAAAGGTGTCCTTCCCAAGCTAGGGCAGAATCCCATGTGCAGCCCAAACCAGATTAAAGTGTTATTGGGAGATAATTGACAAAACAAAATAAAAATACAGCACAACATAGATAATGTTAATTTGTGGTTTTCTAAGTCAGTATGTGGTCCTTGGCGATCTCCTTCCATTTCTGTCTGAGTTTGACACCACAGCTGTAGACAACTCTCTTAAGATTTTCAGTTGCAAAGAAGGTGCCAACTTGCATTAGTAGAGGGAGTTTCCTCACCTAGGAGTCCCCCTTACCCAAGGAAATCAGAAGTGGTATTCTCCACCATGGTTTAAGTTCTCTCTCCCATTCCTGTACCTCTTGATTCTTTGGAAGCAGCTGCTTTGCTGCTATAGAAATGTGACTGTTCAAGGCACATCCTCTGGAACCCACCGGAGCTCCCCTCGCTCTCACAGAGGTCTCAGAAGAGTGGCGAATAGGGTCACCATGGTACTAAGTGTGAAACGTAGGTGCCCTGGAGGGAAGTGTATTCCATCGGTGTGCCCTGACCCTCCTGGATGAAGAACCTATAGTACTTTGGATTGTCAGAGTTAGTAATCGCTGGAAGTATTCAAGATCCAGATGAAATGATGAGAAAGATACAGCCTTTAAACTGCATGTATCTCATATTTTATGTTTAAAACACTTAGCTGCTGCTGAAGTCCTGACTCCAGTAACACATTATGACTTGATTGCCTGGGAGTGTTTGTGGATGGCAAGCCCCTGTCACTGGAGATGTCCACTTAGAGCTGGAGAGTTCTCCTACTGAGGATTCTGTAGATGGAATTCATGATTCAGACGGGAGTTAGACTAGATGACAGATAAAATTTCTTCTGTGTGATACGCATTCCACGTAGTCCGCGCCCACACCATGTTTCCAGTTTAACAGGGACTGTGACCTCTTTCAGTTCATGGAAGAAGGTCAGCAGACTTCTGCATAAGGGTCAACAAGGTTGATCTATGAGTATGCTGAAGCAGATCATTGTTGTAGCTAGCTTTGTTCATTGGATTTTTTTCCTTTGGTTTTTCTTTGTCTTACTTGTAATTTCAACATTAATAACAAAGTACCAGTAGGCCGCTCAAGCGTCTTGTATACTCATTGTCTTTCATTATTATTGTTTTATTTGTATTCATTCCCATTAATGCTTGTTTATTCCCACATAGCCATGCTACAAATGGAAAGTCAGAGCCGCTCACAGCTGATGTCAATCACAAGTAAATATACCTGGCTGCCTGCAGTGCATGGTGACGGGGCTGTGCTTCCCTGGGTACTTACAGGCTTTGCAGCTCAGAGTACTGGACAGCTACGAGACATATTGGGGGAGAATAACTTGAGCTTTTGGTGGGGTGCACTGCTTCCCTGGTAGCAGGCCTTTGGAAGACACACTAACGCAGAGAATCGCTGTGCATGATGGAGCTGGGGCATGCTTTACTAAAGAATCTGAAGAGGGGTGGTCAAGTTTGCAGTGGATAGGTTTATTGCAGAGTGAGAGCAGGTTATAAGCTAGCAGTGGTTGGCGTGGGTTCCTAGTACCCTCTAGGGCATCACTATAGATAAAAATTGCACTCTCTACACCTAGCTTTGAGAATTATGCTTGTGTGGGAGAAGAAAGTGTTGCCTACAGAAAGATGACTTCTCATCTGAGACATGGACATTCATTTCAGGGACCTGAATTTGTAGTGAAATTTCTCATGGCTCTTCTCTTTAATCATTGTGCACTAGTTTTACTTTCTCTAGTTTTACTAGAATGACAAAGTGAAAATTTTACCCCATTATACTGACAAGGAGTTTTCAGCTAAAACCAGGATATACCTTCTCTAGCCTGGTGTCTAGTGCAGGATGTGATGAAATCGACATCTTTGCACCTGAAGAGTCAGCTCAATCATTTTTATGTACTCTGAAGATGTGTAGGCTTGAGTTAGACTTTTAAGTAAAATGTAATTTGAATTTAAGTAAAATGAATTGGGAAATGAAAAAAAAATTGGAAAAAGGGCCTCTGGGAAGGGAAGCTTTTTTCTTTTCAATAGGTCAGCTATGAAATCAACTTCACCCATGAGCTTTCTCCTACCACTGTGACACAGTTGGATCTTGACAAGAGTAGTATATGTGAATTCCCTCCAGAGTCCTGTTGAATGTAGGTGAAGGACCATCCACTCCTAATCAGAATGGTTATCCTGTAAGATGGCACTTATCCATGAGGAAAAGAGCTCATTCTTTAGGTTCATTCTAGTGAATGGTCAGAGCAGCTCCTTTTGATCTCTTAAAAAATTGTTGGCTGGTATACCATCTTCTTGGTTTCTCATGCCAGATTTCTCATCATTGGGTTTCAGCAACTGCTATTGTAAAATGAAGCATTGGTTCTTTATATGTCTGCCTTATAGCATCTAATAATCTCAACTAAAATAAGAGTTTGAGTTTTATGTAGTAGCATTCATTTTTTAGTACTTAAACCTTTTTAATATTGTAATTTGGACCAATGAAGTCTAATTTAAAATTTCTCCTAAAATAGAGTCATGAGAGGCTGAAATTGTTTTTTTTTGGGGGGGTCCTTAGAGCCAGAAGACAAGATTGAATGGAAGTGGGGATTAGGAAAGAGAAGAGGCAAAATAGGGGTAGAGGAAAAAGAGGTATTTTTGATGAAAAGGGTAAGAAACAGTTCATCAAAGTGAAAGTGCTAGCACCTGGAGGGGGCCCCAATCCCGTCAGATGCCCACGGCTGGAGAATGCAAGCTGTTTATGCCTTGAGATTTTAAGCTTAATGGTGATAGCTTCCACCTTACCTGTATTAGGTAAGTTTATATTTTAAAGTCTCTCCAGTCACCGGTCCTGTGGGGTGTTTTTTTGCCGACTAAAACCTCTGAGAGTAGAACATTTTTGGGTGTTTTGTTTTGTACCTAATAGTATGCTAGTCAGTGATGAAAACAAAGGAAGCATAAGAATGGCAGTTTCTTGCCTTTCAGAAGTTTGTATTCTGGTTGAAAATGAAATAGTTAAACAAGACTACAGAGCTAGATATAATTAAGTGCAAAAGGGAGTAATAAAAATAGATGAGCTATGGCAATTCAAAGAAACAGGAGCTCAGTGTGCTCTGAGATTGACCTTTGAAGCATTAGTGGGATTTGGGGAGGCAGAAGGAGAGGGGGTGGGGCATTTGAGTGGGCTCAGAAGCAAGAAAAAGTGGAGAATGAACATGGCATATTGAGGATATGGCAAGCAAGGAGCTAGGCCTGGCTGGAGTGGAAGTTCACGTTGGGCAGCGGTAGGAGAGGGAAGGTCAGACCAGAGATCACAGAGAGCCTTGCCTGCTGGGCTGAGCAGTCCTGCTTCTCTCTAAGGATGACAGACAGTAAGAACTCTGGCTAGGTTGGCTTATTCCACCAGTGCCCAGGGTCTTTTATTTCGATCCACACTTGGGATTTCATTGCTGCAGGTGCCCTTTATGCCAGGGCACCTCAGCATGTGAACTGCAGCCTCGAGCCTGAGTCACATCTGGAGCACTGAGGAGTTCCAGCCTGTGCTTGAGCACAGGCCTTCCCAGCTCGGAGGTCGGCTCTAGCCACTGAGCAGCACTGTCTCTCACCTCAGGTCTTCTGAAACAGTTATGATTTGATGCCATAAGGTCAGCAGGAAATTAGATTCTGGTATTGTTGGTCACTGTCCCCTTGAATTAATGCACAGGCCAGAAGCCAAGTGACTAAAAAGTATTGCCAACATTGCTGGCTTTGATATTACTTAAATATTTTAGAAACTTGGAGTCTTAAACTGGACTAAATATGAATTTATGCAAAAGAAAGTGGTGAATTTGGCCTTGTCACTGCTGTGATACCAATGGAGTCAGCCCCAGAACTGGAGGTAGGCCACTGTCAACCTGAAGTACCCAGGCTATGCCACTTCTTTGAAAGGGTCTTTGGTAATAGGCACAGAGAACTACTTTGCAGGTAAAAACGACCAATTCTTTCTCATTAAATGAGTCAGCCTGGCTTATTTGGGAAACATGTCATTTGCCCTTTCATCCATCTCTGTAGAAAAGCAGGTACTGAGAAATAACATAAAGGGCTAATGATGGTTTTGGAAATCAGAAGAATATTTTTAAGATGTAGGAGAGGTGAATGTGTTAATATGAACAAAGTGATTTAAATAGTAATGCCGTTGAATGTCTTTTTCTAATGTGAACAACTTTATGCTATCCGTTATCACTAACATGGGGCAGCTAGGTGGCGCAGTGGATAGAGTGCCAAGCCTGGAGTCACGAAGACTCATCTTCGTGAGTTCAAATCTGGCCTCAGACACTTACTAGCAGTGTGACTGGGCAAGTCACTTAACCCTGTTTGCCTCAGTTTCCCTATCTGTAAAATGAGCTGGAGAAGGAAATGGCAAACCACTCCCCTATGTTTGACCAAAAAAAACCCAAATGGGGGCATGAGGAGTTGGACACGATTGAAATGACTGAACAGCAAGTCACTAACATGAGTCCCTGATAGATTTTATGACCACGAAGACAATATATGAAGGCAACTTCCCATGAATGTAGCATTTTTCAATCTTGGACCTATTGTTGATGTGAAATGGCATTCATTGAATGCATTTGTGAGTACAGGTGCTGATATGAAATATAACAGTGAGTTACCTATGTTATCTCCCAGACTTCAAGGAAGTTGCAAGCTCTATCGCTTTCCAATCTAATAAATAATTAAAGAAGTGGAGTTTTTGATGTTGGTGCTATTCTCTTTTTTTAGCTTGAAGGATGCCAATGACCTACCCATTCAGTGTGAAATCTCGCCTCTTGTCTCCTATGCTGGCGAAGTAAGTTCTCTAATTATACACCCCCACACACTTCAAGTTTTACTTGTTTATATCCATCTGCAAAAACATCATAGAACATAGAATTGTCAGAAATGTTCTAAGTGTACCCACAGAACAGAGCTGTACTATAGCAGCAAATTTTAAAAATTGCATTTGTTTTGGATATCCTTAATCTCAGGGCCTCTTTAACCTTTCGTGTGTCCTGGACCCCTTTGGCAGTCTGGTAAAGTCGATGGACTCCTCTCCCTAATGTCTTTAAATGCATAAAATTAAATCCATAGAGTTATAAAGGAAACCAATTCTAATAAAATACATTTATCCAAAAAAATTAAGTTCACAAACCCCAGGCTATGAATCCCTGCATTTGGATTCTTCTGCCATTAAAACTCTATATCAAAGCCACAAGCATGGTTTGGTGCTAGTAAACTACAAGCTTGAGGCCTCTAAACTTCCTTCCTCACACCCCACCATAGAGCTCAGCACCATGCTCTGTACACATGAAATACTGATGATGAAATTGTTGTGGGATTGGATTGGCCGCTGTTCTGGGGGTCATTGGGGCCTAACTGATTCCAAATGGTGTTGTTTTAAAATAGGTTCTCTTTGTTTCTATTTAATGCATCGTAACTTTAATCCTTAATAATCCAACTTGTTTAGATGCACAGTCTGTTCAGTTTTTAAAATCTTGTGAATGGAGAGGTTCTAGAACTCTTTGGGTGCTTTTTCTTACTATGTTCTTTGGCAGCATTACTGAAACAGTGTTGTAGGTCTGTCTTCCAAGACCATCTCCTGCTAGAAACAGCCATGTTGGGTAATGGGGATGGATGGAAAGAATGATTGTTGTCTTCTTGCACTTTGAGGTTAAGTAACTGTAACATAATCATAGACTGATTCCCTCTTTTTAGGTTTTAAATTTCGGTCATGTTGGGCCAGTGAGCCTGCTTCGGAAACCTGTATTTCGTAGATTCTCACTGGGTTTTTGAGTTTTCACATGTTAGCCCGACTTAGGATACCCTCCCTTTAGTTCATTGTTACTAAGAATAAGCCCAGCAGATTTCTAACTTTGTGTTTCATCTTCTCTACCTTTAGGGCCTTGAAAGTTATGTGGCAGAAAAAGAATTCCATGCTCCTTTAATCATTGATGAGAATGGTGTCCATGAGCTGGTGAAGAATGGCATCTGAGCTACATGGCTGTGCCATGTATCCACAGGAGTCACTCTCATTTGTAACGGGCCAACTGGGAAGGAATGTCAAGGGCAGTCATAGAAGGCTGAAGTTTGGGAATCCATTGGGTTAATTGTTTCACTTGTTCCAGCTGTTAAAAACTCCCTGGAGAGCTCATTGCCCAGACTGAGATTTCCTCTTGGCTTGTGGCTCATTGAAGTTCTTATTTATATTTTTTATTGTATATTTTCTGCCCAGAAAAGGAACACAATGGCTGTACAAGGAAATTTCCTCTGGCTAAACACCATCAAAGGTGTTTCTTGCTGTCTTACTCAGAATTGGGAACATTTATTTTTCAAGTTGTATAGAGTAATAAACCATTGTACACGAATCGTTTATGTGGTACTAAGTTTGAATTCTATTTTCTCTGACTTTACCTTTTCATAAAAAAAACAAAAAAGTAGATCATAAAATAAACTCCTTCTTGCTGTTGGGTTTTAGACCTTGTAGAAATTACAGAGTTGGAAGAGTCCTTTAAATCTTAAATCTCATTACTACCTGGCTCATATAAAAAGAAGATATGCAGCCTAAGACTTTCATGAACTACCATGGGATAATGTGTGGAGAAAAAAGAAATTCTTCTAGGAAAAGCTTGCAAAGTCATTGGACAACATCCTCAGGATTTATCCCTTTTGTATCTTCAGTATTACTTTCATTTTGCTTTGCTTGAGACTTTGGAATTTTGTATCAGTACTTTCTTCTCTCAGAGTTTTTTGTTTGTTTGTTTGTTTGTTTGTTTGTTTTTAAAGGCAATTGAGATTACTTGCCCAGGGTCACACAGCTAGTAAGTGTCAAGTGTTTGGTCTGAGGCTGGATTTGTACTCAGCTTCTCCTGACTTCAGGGCTGGTGCCCCCCAACAGGGTTTTTAAAATTCTATTTTTTTTCAGATCTGCATTCTCTCCCTCCTCTCTCCCTCCTCCTCCCCACACCCCAATTGAGAAAGCAAGAAAAACAAAACCCCTCTTACAAACATGTAGAATCAAGTAACACAAATTCTTGCATTTCACCGTGCCTCACCTCCACCCTAAAATGTGTCATTTCATACGCCAAGTTCTTCTCTATTAGGAATTAGGTAACATATTTTGGTTGGTCATTTTGTTGATTAGAATATCTGAGTTTTTCAAAGTTGTTGTTGTTTAATTGTATAAATGGGCCACCAAGTCTGCTCACCTCACTCTGCACCAATTTCTACAAGTCTTCCCTTGTTTCTCTGAAGCCATCCTCTATCATTTCCTACAACAATAGTATTCTCTAGTATACACATACCATAACTTGTTCAGCCATTCCTCAGTTGATGGCCACTCCTATCTGTTTCCAATTTTGGGTCCTTTTCCTCTTTAATTCTTTGGGTTATAGCGCTAATAACTGGGCCAAAAGGTATGCATAGCTTTGGGGGCACAATTCTAAATTGCTTTTCAGAATGGATGGACCAGTTCACAACTCTACCAACAGTGAGTTAATATACTTGTTTTCCCACAGACCCTCCAGCATTTGTCCTTTTCCCTTGTTTGTCATCTTTGCCAATCTGCTGTTTTCCCATGTACAAGTTGACAAATTCCAAATATTAATAGATTTATAGAATGTTGGTGTTGGAAAGGACCTTAGAGATCATTTAATTCAGGCCTCATTTCTACAGATGAAGAGCCAAACCCATAGATGAAGTGACTTGATCATAACTAGTTAGTGGCCGGAGTAGGATTCAGAGTAAGGAATTAAACTCGGTGGGTCTTCTGACTTCCACCCCAGGGCTATTTCCATTCTATGACATTGTCTTGCGAAATTTTCTCCTAGTTCTCTTGCCAGTGAGATAAAAAGTTTAATCAGCAATTCTCTATGTACTCTGTGAGGATTTTCTGGGTTGTCCATTGGCTAGTCTGAAATGCAACTTGCATAAGGTTTTGTTTTGTTTTTCTTTTTGGAGACAACCGGAGTTAAGTGACTTGCCCAGGGTCGTATAGCTAGTAAGTATCTGAGGCTGGATTTGAACTCGGGTCCTCCTGACTCTAGGGCTAATGTTCCATCCACCACACCACCTAGCTGTTCCAATTTGCATAAGTTTTTGAATCTTTTTTCCATGTCAGATTTGAATCTAAAAAAAAAAGCATAAACGTTGCCATAAGGCTTTTATATTCAGGGGAAAATTTCATAAAATGGTCAAATTTCGTTTTGTGCAAGCATTCATTAAGGGCTGACCATGTGCCAGTCTCTGTATTGGGGCTGGAGAAACAAAGTCAGAATTGAAGTATGCCCTGCTCTGAAGTCACATACTCTGTCATCTGAAGTAGGGAGCTCTTTGGAGGGGGGGGACAGTAGAGTGAACATTGAACTTGGATTCAGAATACCTAGGTTCAAATCCTGACTGTGCCAGATTACCATGGGATCATGAGAATGTCTCTTAACTTTGATGATCTATTAATAAAAGGATAGTTGTACTTCTTACTTCAAATGCTCAGTGGTTGGTTTAGAAACCTGTGGCCTTCAGGCCACATGTGGCCTTCTAGGTCTCTGGATGCAGCCTTTTGACTGAGTCCAAGTTTACGGAACAAATCCTTTTATTTAGGGAATTTGTCCTGTGAAGTCTGGATTCAGTCAGAGGGATGCACTTGAGGACCTAGAGGGCCACATGTGGCCTCAAAGCCTCAGATTCTTCATCCCTGATTTAGATAATTAGACAGCTAAGGTGGCTCTTCTAGGGTCACATCCAGTGTTCTTTCCAACCCAGATAACCCCCAATTCTAGCGCAAAGTCCAGCCTTCTGTGTGTAAATTTTGTTCGTAGTAGCTGTTACATGCAGAAGCACAAATAGTAGACTGTCTTTGGGTCACTGGGAAATGCTCATTGTCTTCCAGGCTTGCCCAAGGCTCTTAGCCCTCTGTCGTACTTGCTAGTAACTCTAGGGTAAGGTTTTATCTGTAGTCAGCCTTGTTTCTGGGACTTTGCCCAAGTCCCCCCCCCCCCACCCAATAGTATGTTCCTGGTTTCCTTGATCAGCAATTAGCAAATTCCTGCTAGAAACCTAATGTAAATTATAGTTGTTTTTCATCAAGGCACCTCGGTGGCTTCAGTAGACAGGGCCTTGAGTCAGGAAGACATGAGTTCAAATTTGGTTTCAGATACTTACAAGCCCTGTGACCCTTGGGCAAGTCACTTAACCATTGTTTGTCTCACTTTCCTCAATTGTAAAGTGAGGATAATAATAGTACCTACCTCCCAAAGTTGTTGTGAGGACCAAATAAGATAATGTTTATAAATCACTTAGCAGGATGCGCAGCACACAGTAGGCACTTAATGCTTTTTTCCTTCTTTCCCTGTTGTCTCCAAGAAGGTTCTATATAGATAGAATTGAACTTCCAGCTTGCTTCTCTCCCATTTTCTTCCTTTCTACAGCTTACTGGAAGCTGGCCGTAATTGCCTTTTGATATCCCTGTTTCTGAAATATGATAACCCTGGAGGACCTATACTCTCTAAGAAAACAAATGTAGTATTAGTGGAAGGGAACACAGAGCAAAGAGTGACAGGAGGGCCTTTGAATCCCAGCTCTGCATCTTTCTAATTGTGGGCCTGTGACCAAATCTCTTGGCCTTCCCCAAACTCAGTTTCCTCATATTGAAAATAAAGGGATTAGAGGGCTGCTAAGATCCGTTTATGGTTCTAAATCAACGATTCTATGATGAATCCTGATCGTAGGGGGAAGGATACTATGAATTTCATGGTAGTATATGAAATAATGTCTTTTTGTGAGAGATTAAAGGGATTGCTTTCCCTAAATCTCCTTTGCCACAGGTATCAAGAATTATGACACTTGCTTTGCAAATGTGTGTGTGTGTTCTTTCTTTAGTCCAGAGAGAGATTCAAGTGTCAGTCTCTCCTCCCTTCTTTCCTCTTTGTTGTATGGACTTCTACCTGAGCACTCTGATTATGGGAGATAATGTTACCTAACTTTCCTCTCTCTTTCCCTCCAAGTGTTTTCCTCTTCTCTTCGAGAGCCAAGGACAAACAACAACAAAACCAGAGGGTAAAGATAACAGTTCCCCTACAGTATGGGCTGCAACGGTGAGAGGGAAAAGACTTCCTTCCCCTATACCCTCTTCTACCCTGGCTCCAAGAAATGGGCTCAGGAGTATTTGTTTCTGTTCTGTTTTATTTGTCTGCAGTTTCAAGTGTGGACAGAGCCACGGGGACCTTAGAGCTAGTGACGGTGCAGTCAGGCAGCCCAGCAGTGAGGTCCTAAGAAGCCAGAGTGCCTGGGACTTGAGCTTGGGCGGGGAGGTTAGCTTGGATCTGGGACTGGCCTCTATAAGAGCTGAGCTAAGCTGTGAATCCTACCCCTTGCCCTCCCCAGGGTGTTGTAAAAAGGGGAGGGAAGATTATGCCTCCCATGTGTTGGGGGAGTAGGTTTATTACTTGTAATTATATCTTTGAGTAATATTTCCTTGTAAAATCTAATCTGATTGTTAGTGGTCAAATGGAACTGAGGTTGCAAAGGACTGACCCTCCCATTTGGGAAAATGCCATTGGTGGGAGCGTAGATACACACCTCAAACTCCCTTAAGGGTACCCTGGAACCCTGGGGAAGGAGTGAAATATAGCATACTTGGCCTTCAGGCAGTGGGGACCAGGGCTGGCTGTGCTACATTGGTAAATGACTGTTGACTGACACAGATCCTCTAAGCATTTGCTTTGACCTGGCTGCTCTGGAGGTCTTCAGCTTGTATCTTCATATGTTTTGCTCCCCTCAGTGCATTAGAATTCACTTTTCTGAAGTTGATGTCAACATTCTTGTAGCCAGCCCACCCTAACTTTTGGGCTTGTAGACTGGCCAGGGGATTGCCTTGGATCATGGACGTTAGAGGAAGCCCGGAAGCAAAAAAAAAAAAAAAGGGAAAAAAGGGGGAAAAATTGGCTTGAGAAGGAATTTGTGGGCACTTCTGAGTGAAAGTGAATGTGCCCGGAAGTAATGAGTATCAAATGTGTAACTTAAGCAGACTTTATTACTTGATTTAAAATTTTTATTTTATTAGCACATGCAGAATAAGCTAGTTCCTGTGAGTCAGACACATGTCGTCAGTTTGAGGTTTGTCCTAGGTTGGCTGTGCTCACTGGAGAGTAATCATTTCTGTCCTGGGTAGGCCCGATGCTGTTCAGCAGAGGGCAGCAGACCCACACAGTATGGAAAACCCTCCCCCAGAAACAACCCAAAAGTAATGTGTCGAAAGCCATCAAGCTGGAAAGACACTATATGGTCATCTAGCCCAAACTGGGCTCCCTCTAACTCCCAATTTTTTTTTTCTGCAATTGTGTTTTCATTGATAGAGGGAACTCTCAGTGAGTTCCCTCTCGCTCCCTCTCTTCTAGTGCAAAGTGATTTGCGTGGGTTCACACAGCCAGTCTGGAGAAAAGGCAAGACTGCAAGAGAGGTCTTTCTGCCTCCAAGATAGGCTGTGTGGTTGGTCCTTGGTTCTTGAAGAGGCCCATGGCATCAGGGAGATGATGCCGTGATTTGCAATTGACTTTGATTTGAGTGAGTGAGAGCTGTGCAAGGTCATCAGCCTCACTTTCTCCTCCAGAGCCATCTGGGTCCAGCAGCCAGATATCAATCATGATGACTGGAGATGGCCCAGGATGCAGTGGGAGACCTTGGCCATTTCAAGCTAAGGTCTTTCTAGGTTCTCACTTTGAGTGAGGCCTCTTTAAAAATGAGTCAGGGTGGCACAGTGGATAGAGCACCGGCCTGAAGTCAGGAGGACCTGAGTTCAAATCCGGCCTCAGACCAAACATTGACACTTACTTAGCTGTGTGACCCTGGGCAAGTCACTTAACCCCAATTGCCAAAAAACAAAAACAAAAAAAAAAGTGAGTCAGGGATCCAAAGAAAGAGCTATGGAGTTTGCAGATCAAAGCATACTATTTGCTGCTTTTTTTCCTTCTGTTTTGTTTTCTCTTTCTTGTGGTTCTAATTCTTCCTAACAATATCACTAATGTGAAAATATGTTTAATAGGAATGTATATGTATTGTCTAAAAAAAAAAAGAATAATTTTACAGATATCTGCCTTTTTGTGTCTAATGGTAGATATCTGTAGGATGGGGGAGGGGAGGAAAGGGGGAAAAAAAGAAATTCCCATGATAATTTTGTTGTGTGTTTAAAAGTAATAGCAAATTGTGTGTAGTAGATTTGAAGTTTCATGTACGATCATCTTCTTTATTGTACTATGTTATGGAAATGCTTGTTTTATTCCATAAATTAAAACTAAAAATTTTAATTAGCTTTAAAAAAAAAAGTGAGTCAGAGGATGGCCCCTTTCATGGGGGGGGCAGGCATCAAACTGGGAGGGGAAGACCTTTAGGTTTGCTGGCCAAAAGAGAAACAGTTACTATTTACATTTGCTCTGAGCCAAGAAGGCCCAAACAATAACCATTAAGTGGTGCTTGGGCAGGGAAGTGTTGTTTAATTTGTGAGCTCCAGAGTGAATTCGGTTTAAGGCTTGGTCTTTGAGAAAAAAATCTAGCCAGTAAACCTCAAATTAAGAAGGTAGCATTAGGCCATCAAAATTTGCCTTCCTTTGGGCTGAACACCTTTGGGTAAAGGCAGAGGAGGAGAGTAAAGGTAAGGAGAGGGGAGGGGAAAGGAGAGGAGAGGGGAGAGTGCTCTATCTACAACCCTCCTCTGCCTCTCTCAAACCTTCCTTTTAACAGATGAAGAATCTTGAGGCCTAGACAGGGAAAGATAGTTGACCAAAGATAAATAGGTAATTAGCATGGGACCTAGTATAGGACTTGGGTTTTCTATCTTCGAGTCTATCTTTCCATTTTCACTTTTTAGTGAAAGGGCTTGGGAATGAGGTAAGAGTTCAAGCGCCTTTTTCTGGGAGGGATCTTTGTTCTTGTCCCCATCTTCAATATAAGAAGTCTTCCTGGCCTTTAGTTTCTGCCTAACTTTGTACACCAGGCTAAGCAAATTCCTAAGATAGTAAAGGGCATTCTGGTCAGAGCATCCTGGGGCCATTGTTCCAGTCAGCCTTCTAGAAGGGGAAAAAAAGATTAGTTACCCTATAAACTACCAAACATATGCCCAATTGCTCTCCAGGGCATTCCTAATTAATCTCCTTAAACCTGTGATTTTGCCATGTTCTTATGGGATCAGAGAATGTTGGAGCTGGAAAAGGCCTTAAAACTCTTTTAGTCCAATTCTCATTTGACAGCTGGGGAAACTGAGGCACACAGAGAAGAAATGTCCTTCCCACAGTGAATAACAAAACTATAACTTGAACTAATATTCTCTTACTCAAAATTCAGTGTTTTCCTCCTATGCCACATATTTAGAGAAAAAGTCCAAACCAATTATTTTCCCCCCTCTTAATATATTTTGCTCTGTTTCCTAAAGAAAAAAAACAAACCAAAAATAAAAATGGGAGAAAATTTTGAAATAATTTATTCTTAGTAGTCGAGGAGGAACTTTTTAAAAACTTGTTTTATATTTCATGATGATTAATAATGAAATAGTAGGGCAAAATGTGAAATTCAACTTAACTTCAAGGTGCAATGTGCTGCCGCATGAATAAAGTCAAGCTGACTGCTGATTTTTTCCTGTTGATTTGGAAAAAATGTTGGGGGAAGGTGTCTGAGACTACGAGCGTGGCTGAGTTAGCAGGGCCAATTACAGCAGAACTTGCCTATTTGGATACTGATTTAGATTCCAGTAAATCACTCTTCCACAGGCCTGGTGCTTGCCTTGTTTATCAGCATGTGCCAGTTTTCCCTGATGGTGAAAGTCTTCGTAAGATAGTGGGTACAAAAGGTCTTTTGTAACGAGGTCAAGGGAAAGAAAACACCCCTCTGAAATTACTGAAATACTCCTTCCTCCTCATTTCACTCCAGGGTTTTAACTTTAATTTCAAAAGATCTAAAGCCCCAACAGATATTTGCCTTTCAGTAACTCTATGGGCATCGATTGTTTGCTGGCAGTCTTAGATGCTGGAGGCTGAAATAAATTGTTCATTGCGACTCTACTTGGAGCAGAGGTTCTTCAACTGGAGCTCACCAATGGATTTCAGGGGATCTTTGAACTTAGATGGGGAAAACTACATCTTTATTGTCATTAATCTTTAAATTGATCATGTCCTTCAATTTAAATTAAAAAAAATTAAAAATATTCTGAGAAGTTCCTAAGCTTCACCAGACTGCCAAAGAGGTCCATGATATTCTAAAGGTGAATAACTCCTGACTTGGAGGATGATGGGTTTCAAGCTTTCAATTACAGCCTAGAAAAAAGGAGCGAAGACTCACTGGAAACTGTTTTCTTTATTTTGTCGTTGAGTTGTTTTCAGTTGAGTCCAACTCTCTGTGACCCCATTTGGGGTTTTCTTAGCAAAGGTACTGGAATGGTTTGTCATTTCCTTCTCCAGCTCATTTTCCAGATAAGGAAATGGAGGCAAACAGGGCTTAGTGACATATCCAGGGTTACGCTGCTAGTAAATGTCTGAGATTGGATTTGAACTTCTGAGCATGAATCTTCCTGATTCCAAGACCAGTGCTCTATCCACTGTGCCACCTAGCAGCCCATTCTTTTTAGACAACAACCTGATATGATAGAGTAGCCATAGAAGCCAACACAATGGGCACCTCCACGAAGGGCATTGAAAACACAAGAGGAAATGTTGTGACACCCTTCTACAAAACCGTAGCTTATTTCTATTTCTGTACCTAGAGGATTATGGGTGTTGCTATTTATTTTGCCCAAGAACCTAAACTGGCAAGATGTGACAATTAGAAATGAGGCAGAGAAAGGTGCCTCGGGAGGTAGGGTGGCCACAAGAACCCTGAGTTAGTTGGATATTCAGGGTTCAAATATCAGGTCTGCTACTTAATATTCAGGAAAGTCATTTAACCTAGCTGTGTGCCTCCATTTTCTTCTCTGCAAAATGAATGGGTTAGACCAGAGAACCTCTATGGTTCTTTCCAATCCAATGTCTGATTCAGTGACTACAAAAATAGAATAGTGTATAGAATGAGACAGGCAGCAAGTATTTACTAAGTCTTATTGCATGCCAGGCACTGGGCTAAGGCGCTGGGTTAATAAAAAGTATCCATTTCATACAAATGGTTATAAACTTTTGGCCCTTCTTATGTTGGATGGTTACCATAGATTAAAAAACAGTTAGATAAAAGTCATGGTCTATAGCAAATTGATTCAGTGGAAAGAGTGCCGGGCCTGGAGTCAGGGAAGATCTACATTCAAATTCTGTCTCAGACACTTATTCCCATGTGATCCTGGGCAAGTTATTAAATCTCTGCCTCAGTTTCTTTACATGTAAAATGGGGATGGTAATAGCATCTACCTCCCAAGGTTGTTGTGAGACTCAAATGATATAGTAATTGTAACATACTTAGCAAATGTTAGCTCTTATTGTCAGGATGCTGACAAAAAAGAGATCATATCTGTAAAGCATGTAGCAAACCTCAAAGAATGATATCCAATGCTAGCTTTTATTATTATTAGTGAGAAAGCTCTTGGAGTATGTAATGATCTAATTCTGAGTTAGATGGGCCCTTTGCCCATAATCTTTTTTTTTTTCCAGGAGGCTGGGAAAAGTCTTTATTAACAACCAAGACACAGCCATGAGGGAAGGGGCAGGCGAGATCACAAACTAAAAACCAACAGCTAGCAAAGGGCCCTGCAGGCCCAGAGGGCTGCACTCTGGGGTCCTCACAGACCTCCCAGCGACAGACAGAAACACCTGGGTATCTGTCCTGGGGAGGAGGTGGTGGTTCTGTTGTTCCAGGAAGTGGAAGGGTGTATGGCGCATCATTATAAGTGATGGGGTAAGGGAATAAAGTAGAGGGAGGTCCATCACTGCCCAAGGCCACCTCCCCCACGAAGAGGCAACACCAAATGGAGGACTGAACCTTCCTGGATCTTGCAATCAGCAGCTGTCTTCTTGTCGTTCATCTGTTTGCCACTGTAGATGAGTCGCTGCTTCTGTGGAGGAATTCCTTCTTTCTCTTCTACTCGCTCCTTGATCCGTTCCACCTTGTCTGTGGGTTCAACGTCAATCTCAATTTCCTTTCCTGTCAGCATCTTCCCCCTGTAGCCAAGCTTCTTGTGGATGAATTGCTGCTGCTGCTGCCGCTGCCTCCGCTCACCAGCACCCCTTTGCCCATAATCTTCCAAGGCTGGCATGGGAGGAGACGATCCTATTTTTGCACCAAATGTTCCTTGGATCTGAAGTAGGATAAAATTCTGGTCTAGTTGGAATGTTGCATCAATTCTGTTTTTTATGAACGGTGCTGATATGGGTAAGTTAACAACCTGCTCAAGACATGAAGGAATTGAAAAAGGAGGAGGTGCTTAGATGATCTCCTGTAGCCATCCTTGTCCAGGCTGGGGTTTAGTTAGAGCTTGACAAGGCCTAAGATCGTCTGGTCCAACCTCCGAATTTGACAGAGAAGGAAAGTGAAGGCCAGGAAGACAAGGGATTGGCTCAAAGTCACATGGTATGTGTCATTGAATGAACTGCACTTTATATTGTCGATAAATATCTCTGGTTAATGAGTCTTTGGTCTGCTTAGAAGGGAAATATCTCTGAGCCTCCATGACCTAGAACGAGGCTTTTGCCAGCCTCAGAAATGTCCAATGAGGGTAGGTGGTATGATAGTTAAAAGGCAGTGAACTGACAAGCAGGAGTCTTTGCAAAGTGAAAACTTTCATTCCCTAGACTAGAGACTTGAAGATCCCGTCTACTTCAAGTGGAGGAAGTGTGGCCTAATTGTCATACATCAACAGACCTGGGTTTGAGTCTCAGCTCTATTACTGTATCTGACTTTCAGTCTCCCCATCTGTAAAATAAACATAATAATACGTTCACTACCAACTTCACAGGATCAGTTTGAGGGCCAAACAAGATAATATTCAAAAAACACTTTGTAAATAAAAAAATGTTATAGAAATCAGAATTTCTATAGCATGTTAGGTCTGTTCTAGAGCTTCCTGTCTTTTCTGGGCCATCTATGAGAGATCTTGTCTAGGCCTGGGTCAGAGAATTTCTCTTTGTCTGGGCAGTTGGGGTTATTAAAGTGATAATGATAATACTAGTCCTAGGGCCTTCCTTGACTCAAAAGTCTATCTCTGCCTTCTGGGCTGGAGTTGCTGCTATAAAATCAAACATTTGTAGAAACAACCATCATGGGCCTGGGGCAGTAATTGCTTTCTTTTCTTTCAGGACTGGTTTCTTCATTGCCTTTTTGATCTTATGGAAATTAACTGAGCAAAGGCTGGAGTTAAGAGCGCCCAACTCCCCATTCATGTGATAGCATAGAATATCACATGAGAGATGAGTCAGTCAATAAGCATTTATTAAGCTCCCCTTGCATGCCAGGCACTGTGCTAAGTGCTGGACTTGCAAAGAAAGGCAAGAGATCATTTCATAGAATCATAACTGGGAGGGACCTGAGAGGTCATTTGATCCATCCACCACATTTTGCAGACAAGGAAACAAACCAAAAGAGGTGAAATTATTTTCCCCAAGTTACATGGCCAGTTAGTGGCAGAGTTGAATAACTATTTCCCCCCAACCCTGTAATTACCCAGTGTAGACAGCCTTAAATGGCTCCACCATCCTACACACTCTTGAAGCTGCTTATCTAAATAAACCTCCCCAAGTGTTTGCCAGATGAATGGAGAGGCCCAACTCTGGGGGACGTTCCTGGCCTTACTTTCCTGCTGGGATGGATGGGATTGTTTGGCAGGCCTGGCACAGAGCCTGAAACTGCTGGGGGAAGGACAGCCGAATGACCAGTCTCTCCTCCTTTCAATATTGGACTCAAGGAGTGGAAGGAGGCGACCTGGAGGAAGAAATAGAATGAAAAGTCATTCTAACTGCTGGTCCTACCCCTGCCCTCTGAGTAAAGGGCCCGGCTGGCCCCTGCTGATTCATCCTTTCTGTAGTTCCTGGCCGCAGCCAGCTCCAAGTGCAGGTGATCAGTTGAAAAAAGACTGACGGCCAAATGATGTGGGTGGGGTTATGGCTAAGCCAAGCCAGCAAAACTACAGCCTGAGGCGCCTGCTGGGGCTTTTCTTGGTTACCTCTGCTGAACCATTGCCTCCCAGGCATGGGAAGGACTACAGGGGCTATCTGGTTCAACCTGTGTCTCAAAAGGAATCCCCTCTACTACACACCCAGGATTTGTGTGAAAATCTCTAGTGATGGGGAACCTTTTACCTGTTAAGGGAGAGGGAGGGGGAGAGGGGGGAAAGGAAAAGGGTAGACGGAGAAGGAGAACGACAGGAGATAGAGAGGAGAGTGAGAAAGAGGGGGGAGAGAGAGGAGAGGGGAGAAGGAGAAAGAGAAGACAGGGGAGAGGGAAAAAGAGAGGAAGAGGGGATAGGGAGAAGGAGAACGAGAACAACAGGGGAGAGGGAGGAGGGGGAGAGAGGAGAGGGGAGAAGGAGTAAGAGAAGGAGAGAGGGAGACAGAAGGAAAGAGAGGAGAGTGAGGAGAAGGAGAGGAAAGGGAAAGAGGAGAGGGAGAAAGAGTGGGGAGAGAAGGAGAAGGGCAGGAGAGGGAGAAGAGGGGAGAGGGAGAGAGGAGAATGAGAAAGACAAAGGGAGAGAGAGAGAGAGGAGAGGGGAGAAGGAGAAGGGGAAAGGACAGGGGAGAGGGAAAAGAACAGGGGAGAGAGAGAAGGAGGACAAGAAAGAGGGGAAAGGGGAGAGGGAGAGAATTCATATATTCCCTTCTGAGTGATCAATGGAAGAAAAGATTAACCTAAGCATCATAAAGTCAAATGCAAATTGACTAATGGCATCCCACCCCTTAATAAAATGCTTTAGACTTACAAAGTGGATTAATTTCCAATTTAAATTCAACTTTGTCTGAATATCATTAAAGGTACCCCTACATTTCATGATTTGTTTGGTAGGGTTAAAGGCATATACGTACTCTAATACTTTATTTGGTGGATTGCTGCAAATATTTTGGAGAATATGGTAATTTGTAAAATTTATTGTATCTCAGTAGCACCTCACCAGCACTCCCTGCCCTTGTGACTGGAGAGCAGAGCCATGAACTCCCAAACCTCCAATTATGGAGGGGTCTGAGGATAGCCATCTACACTTCCCACCCAGCTGCCCTCCTTTTGGACTTCTTTGCCTTCTCCATCATGTGCCTCTGCAGGGTGCCTTCCCCGTCATCGACCCACTTTTCCACTTTTCTTTGCCTGTTGTCTTTACCCATTTGATTGTAAGCTCCTTGAGGGCAAAGACTGTCTTTTTTTCTTATTTGTATTCCCCCCCAGATTAGAGCAGTGCCTAGCATGTGTGCTTAATAAATGTTTATCGACTGACTTTTGTCCCAGAAATTCTTTTGTTAGAACTCTGTTTCCAAGATAACATAAAAAGGAAAAAAAAACCCTTAGTTATCTGCACAAAAATATTCCTAGCTTTGCCTGATTTCAACTCTTAAGGAACAAGTTGCCCCTCCCTGGAGAAGCTCATCACTTCTAATCCCATCTTTGTTGTGACTCTTTGTGACCCCATCTGGGGTTTTCTTGGCAAAGATACTGGAGTGGTTTGCCATTTCCTTCTCCAGCTCTAATCTCATCACCATGCTGCTAACTGGAGCCTTGGGTACCACCTCCCTCCACCTCCTCTCCCCTCCTTTTCCAGGGCAGAAATTGTACTTCTAGCTCACTCCACTTTTGTATCTGCAACTCTTCCTGGTTTTTACTCCATGGAACATGACACCCACCCTGGTGTCTCCCCCAATCCCTCACCCTCTTCCAGCTTCCTTTTGTGTCTTCCTCCATTAGATTGTAAGCTCCTCAAGATCAGGGACTATCTTTCTTTTTCTTGTATCCCTAGAACTTAGCACAATGGCTGGCATACACTAAGTGCTTAATAAATGTTTATTCGATTGAAATAATAATGATAGCTATTGTGTACATGACAGACTAAGCACTATACACCCGTGTGTGTGTGTGTGTGTGTGTGTGTGTGTGTGTGTGTGTATAAAACTTCATTTGAGCCTCGAAATAACTCTGTGAGGTAAGTAATGTTATAACCCCCATTTTGCAGATGAGACCATATTAAGGCCAAGAAAGGTTAAGTGACTTGCTGAGGTTCACACAGCTAGTAAGCGGTTGAGGCAGAATTCAGATTCCTATGTTCCTGACTCCATCTCCAGCCCCCTGCCCACTATGCAACGTAACTGTCTATATGTCCAAATATTGGAAAATGATTGAATAATTTTATTTTATTATTCCATAGGAAATGAGGGATTTTGAAAAGTAAAAAGCAAGAGGGAAAGCTTTATAGGCATAGTGGACATTCCTTGAGAGCGAGGACTATCTTTGGCTTTTCTTTGACTACGCAGTGCTTAGTACAATGCCTGGCCCACGGTATGCACTTAATAAAGATTACTGACTCACTGAAAGGGTACGGTGTGAAGAACAGCAAGAAAGCCGAGTTTGGTTGGACTGTGACATGAGTGTGAAGGGGAGTGATGTGTAATAAGATTGGAGAGTTACGTTGGAACCATCTTATGGGAAGAAGAATTTAAATGTGAACCTTAGGAAAATCACTTCGGTGGTTGCCTAGGGGGTAGATGGGAATGGAGAGAGAATGGAGGCAGGGAATCCAATTGGGAGACTATTGAAATAGTTGAGTCAAAAGGTGATCAGGGCCCGAACTGGGCAGATGAGAATGTATTTGAGAGATGTTGTGGAGATAGAAATTAGAAATTAGATATGTGTGATGAGTCAGAGATGATTAATGAATTTTCTGCCCTAGGTGACTGGAAGGATGATGGTGCCCTGAATAATCACAGGAAATACTGGAATCAGATTTTTGGATAAACACAGCAAACTTCCACTGGCCAAAAAGCAAACCCTCCTCTCTAATCTCTACTACTTCCTTTCTCATCACCAAACACCTTGACACCCCACCCACCCATGTCCCATTCCATATCTGCCCATCCCTTTCACTGTGTCCTTGGGAAGTAACAATCAATAATGAACATATTTCATTTTAAACCTAATCATTTCAAGTTCCTTCCATCTTTTGGCTCTCACTGAGACCACACTTCCTCTCAATGACAATGCATCCTTGGGCTTCCTTTCCAGTTAGGACTGTACCTTCTTTCAGACCGCCGGACTCGTTGGTCCTGATGAGGAAATCAGAATACTGCTTGCTCCACAATGCTGCTTCCAAGCTCTCCTTTTATTCCTACCACTCAGAAACCTCTTCTTTGAATTTTCGTCTATCCGAATTTACTATCCAGTCCAAATACTGGTGACTATTTTCTAGTGACTCCCCACCCCCAACCCCACCTAGGACATTCTCCTTCCCTTTTCAATGAGTTCAGTGGTTAACTCAATAGCTCTCACCACTCTCACACTAAGGAAATTCAATATACGCATTAATGTTCCCTTCAATACCCTCTCCTCCCAGCTCCTCAATCTGCTCACCTCCCATGACCTATCACTGTTATTCCATTCTACTTCAGTTACACTTAAGGAGGTCACACCCTTGAACTTGTCATTACTCACAAACCCTCAAAAGTTCCACTCTCATGACCAACAACTCTGAAATTCCTTCTTCTAATCACAGTCTCCTCTCATTCTACTACTCTCTATGCTCTACTCTTTCTAAAAGTATTCTTAGTTCTCTCTGTGACCTCCAATTCTTTCACCCTTCAGTATTTTACCAGACCATTACCTCTGCTCTGCTTACACTATCCCCCTTTCCCAATCTGGGCCTAGGGGAAAGGTAATAAGGTCCATTTGGGAATGTATTGTGTTTGAGATTCCTATGGGAAAAATAGATTGAGGTTCCCATTAAATAGTGGGGGACGCAGGAGAGCATAAGGTATATAGATTTGGAAGTCATCTGCACAGAGATGGAAGCTGAATTCATTAGAGTTGATGAGAGAAAAAGAGGGAAGCACAGATAGAAAAGGATAGGACCCAGGACAGAGAATTGGACTATAACTATGCCAAAGGAAATGAGGTAATAATAGCTAGGATTTGCAAACTTAAGGTTTGCAAAGTGATTTATATATTTATAAATATATTCATTATATTAATATAATACAATATAATAAATATGTATTTATATGATTTATATATATTATCTCATTGGCTCCTCATAACAACCCTGGTACTCTTATGATCCCCATTGTACCAATGATGAAATTGAGATTTAGAGGTTAAGTGACTTCCCCAGGCTCCCGCAGCTAATGAGCGTCTGATATATGATTCAGACTCAGTTTCCTGACTCCCAGTTCAGTACTCTAATCACTCTGTTGTTATCTAAGTTGCCAGATCTAAACCTGATCCACCAATGAATATTTATTAAGAGCTTACTAAGTGCTAGGCACTGGGAATACAAAGGAAAAAGGGTAATAGCCCCTGCCTTCAAGGAGCTGACATCATAGCAATATAAATAACACATATACATAGATACACACATATGGAAGGTGTTTATATACATACATCATCTGTTCGTCTCAGTTTCCTCAACTGTAAATTGAGGATAATAATAGAACTTACTTCACAGGGTTGTTGCAAAGATTGAATGAGATATTTGTAAACAAGCACTTGGCACAAGGCCTGGCACATAGTAGGTGCTAAAAAACCGTGCTTATTCCCTTCCCTTTAATATCAAACTTGGAGGCAGCTAGGTGGCTTAGTGGATAGAGCATTGGGCCTGGAGTCAGGAAGATCTGAGTTCAAATCTGGTCTCAGACACTTACTAGCTGTGTGACTCTAGGCAAGTCACTTAACCTCTATTTGCCTTAATCCACTGGAGAAGGAAATGGTAAATCACTTCAGTATCTTTGCCAAGAAAGCCCCAAGGACAGCACTGGTCTGCTGTGGTCCACAGGGTCTCAAAGAACGACTGGACAACAAATATGAAACTAAGTATGTACAGATAGGGAGAAGGACAGGGGCTACATATGGACTGAACCCGTGATTTCATTGGTGTATGGGGATCTTCAGGTGAGGAAACTCCCTCCAACAGTGCCATCATCTTCTTTGTAGTCTTCAAGAGCTTTCTAGAGAATGTGGAACTGAAGTGACTTGCTCAAGGTCACACAGTCACTATATGTCGGAA